TGCGAGGCAAGGGTCGGTCAGGCATCCCACACTTAGAGAAGAAACTGTTGTAACCGCCACAAGGTTTTTCTGTTTCCCTTTCTGCTGATAGAAAAGCACTGGCCTGGCCGGGCACGGTGGCTCAAGCCTGTAATCCCAGCACTTTGGGAGGCCGAGGTGGGTGGATCACGAGGTCGGCAGATCGAGACCATCCTGGTCAACGTGGTGAAACCACGTTGTAATTCTACTAAAAATTACAAAAAATTAGCTGGGCATGGTGGTGTGTGCCTGTAATCCCAGGTACTCAGGAGGCTGAGGCAGGAGAATTGCCTGAACCAGGGGGCGGAGGTTGCGGTGAGCCGAGATGGCGCCATTGCACTCCAGCCTGGGTAACAGGAGCGAAACTCCGCCTCAAAAAAAAAAAAAAAAAGAAAAGCGCTGGCCTTGGGATCAGCAATATTAAAACAACTGCAGCTCCAGGACATGCTCACTGACTGACCCTGTTTCACCAGCCTTGACAGCTGTGACTGGACAAGAGACTGACTTCAATGACTTTCTCCCGATAAAAGACCACTGACCCTGGACTGGCTCTGACGGGTTTATAGAGATGACGCACCTGCATGCCTCTGTCCTGAAAAGACCTTTGGCCGTAAAGGCCCTAAAAGATGGTGAATGTTAAGACTCCACCCCAAAGTGAACATGGGTCATATATTACATGCTTTGCTCACCGAGAGGGCATGTGTCAGGACCAGCTTCATGAATATTCATAGCTCCTCCTGTGACCTGTTGAATATGTATGTTTTGCCAATGCCTTTAGCATAGAGCTCCTGTTCCAACCCCTCCTTGGAAGTGCCTGTCTCTGGCCTTGGCTGAAAACCATTCCCAGCCTGAGGGATGGCTGCCGCCGTGTAGGCTGCAACCGTTTACAAGAAATAAAGCCTCCTCTTTTTCCAAATGTATAAATTGTGTGTGTTTTTAAATTAACATGAATGACGGAAGGATGGGCTGTTCAAGGGGGAAAGTGGGCTGTACCCGGGGTGGACTAAAGAGGAAACGTGAAAAAGAAAAACTGCGAATGGCCGGGCGCGGTGGTTCACGCCTGTAATCCCGGCACCTTGGGAGGCCGAGGCGGGTGGATCACGAGGTCAAGAGATCGAGACCATCCTGGTCAACATGGTGAAACCCCGTCTCTACTAAAAATACAAAAAATTAGGGGGGCACGGTGGCGCGTGCCTGGAATCCCAGCTACTGGGGAGGCTGAGGCAGGAGAATTGCCTGAGCCCAGGAGGCAGAGATTTCGGTGAGCCGAGATCGCGCCATTGCACTCCAGCCTGGGTAACAGGAGCAAAACTCCGTCTCAAAAAAAAAAAAAAAAAAATTAAAGAAAAACTGCGAAACTAGTGGTAGCGAAGCGCCCTGGAGAAGAGACGGCACAAACCCTGCCGCTCCGCAAAGCTGCTGTAGGACCTGCAGGAACCAGGCCTGGAAGGAAACCTGGCCGGAAAGGAAGCTGGCAGCCGTGCGTGCTCCTGCTGGCAAAACGCTGCTAGTCACTTCAATGCCCACCGCTGTTGCATACACCTGCTTTGTTCCTGCCACGGAATACCGAACCGCAGAAAAATCATTACATGGGCAGATCTCAAATTACAGGGGGGGAAAAATCAAGCTGCAGAAGCACATGAAAGTCAGTTCCCGTCGTTTCAGAAAACGCAAGCAGCGCTCCACCTGCTACTTACACACGTGGGACAGGAGGAAAAGAGGCCGGAGAGGAGTCCCAGGAATTCAGGGTCGCGCAGCGCTCCACCTGCTACTTACACACGTGGGACAGGAGGAAAGGAGGGAGGAGAGGAGTCCCAGGAATTCAGGGCCGCGCAGCGCTCCACCTGCTACTTACACACGTGGGACAGGAGGAAAAGAGGGAGGAGAGGAGTCCCAGGAATTCAGGGCCGCGCAGCGCTCCACCTGCTACTTACACACGTGGGACAGGAGGACAAGAGGGAGGAGAGGAGTCCCAGGAATTCAGGGCCGCGCAGCGCTCCACCTGCTACTTACACACGTGGGACAGGAGGAAAAGAGGGAGGAGAGGAGTCCCAGGAATTCAGGGCCGCGCAGCGCTCCACCTGCTACTTACACACGTGGGGCAGGAGGAAAAGAGGCAGGAGAGGAGTCCCAGGAATTCAGGGCCGCGCAGCGCTCCACCTGCTACTTACACACGTGGGACAGGAGGAAAAGAGGGAGGAGAGGAGTCCCAGGAATTCAGGGCCGCGCAGCGCTCCACCTGCTACTTACACACGTGGGACCCGAGGAAAAGAGGCAGGAGAGGAGTCCCAGGAATTCAGGGCCGCGCAGCGCTCCACCTGCTACTTACACACGTGGGACAGGAGGAAAAGAGGCAGGAGAGGAGTCCCAGGAATTCAGGGCCGCGCAGCGCTCCACCTGCTACTTACACACGTGGGGCAGGAGGAAAAGAGGCAGGAGAGGAGTCCCAGGAATTCAGGGCCGCGCAGCGCTCCACCTGCTACTTACACACGTGGGACAGGAGAAAAGAGGGAGGAGAGGAGTCCCAGGAATTCAGGGCCGCGCAGCGCTCCACCTGCTACTTACACACGTGGACAGAGGAAAGAGGCAGGAGAGGAGTCCCCAGGAATTCAGGGCCGCGCAGCGCTCCACCTGCTACTTACACACGTGGGACCCGAGGAAAAGAGGCAGGAGAGGAGTCCCAGGAATTCAGGGTCCGCGCAGCGCTCCACCTGCTACTTACACACGTGGGGCAGGAGGAAAAAGAGGCAGGAGAGGAGTCCCAGGAATTCAGGGCCGCGCAGCGCTCCACCTGCTACTTACACACGTGGGACCCGAGGAAAAGAGGCAGGAGAGGAGTCCAGGAATTCAGGGCCGCGCAGCGCTCCACCTGCTACTTACACACGTGGGACAGGAGGAAAAGAGGCAGGAGAGGAGTCCCAGGAATTCAGGGCCGCGCAGCGCTCCACCTGCTACTTACACACGTGGGACAGGAGGAAAAGAGGCAGGAGAGGAGTCCCAGGAATTCAGGGCCCGCGCAGCGCTCCACCTGCTACTTACACACGTGGGGCAGGAGGAAAAGAGGCAGGAGAGGAGTCCCAGGAATTCAGGGCCGCGCAGCGCTCCACCTGCTACTTACACAGTGGGACAGGAGGATAGAGGGAGGAGAGGAGTCCCAGGAATTCAGGGCCGCGCAGCGCTCCACCTGCTACTTACACACGTGGGACCCGAGGAAAAGAGGCAGGAGAGGAGTCCCAGGAATTCAGGGCCGCGCAGCGCTCCACCTGCTACTTACACACGTGGGACAGGAGGAAAAGAGGCAGGAGAGGAGTCCCAGGAATTCAGGGCCGCGCAGCGCTCCACCTGCTACTTACACACGTGGGGCAGGAGGAAAAGAGGGAGGAGAGGAGTCCCAGGAATTCAGGGCCGCGCAGCGCTCCACCTGTACTTACACACGTGGGGCAGGAGGAAAGGAGGGAGGAGAGGAAGTCCCAGGAATTCAGGGCCGCGCAGCGCTCCACCTGCTACTTACCACACGTGGGGACGAGGAAAAGAGGAATGGAGAGGAGTCCGGATTCAGGCCGCCGGCAGCGCCCACTGCTACTTACACACGTGGGGCAGGAGGAAAAGAGGCAGGAGAGGAGTCCCAGGAATTCAGGGCCGCGCGCAGCGCTCCACATGCTACTTACACACGTGGGGCAGGAGGAAAAGAGGCAGGAGAGGAGTCCCAGGAATTCAGGGCCGCGCAGCGCTCCACCTGCTACTTACACACGGGGGACAGGAGGGAAAAGAGGGAGGAGAGGAGTCCCAGGAATTCAGGGTCCGCGCAGCGCTCCACCTGCTACTTACACACGTGGGACAGGAGGAAAAGAGGGAGGAGAGGAGTCCCAGGAATTCAGGGCCGCGCAGCGCTCCACCTGCTACTTACCCCACGTGGGACCCGAGGAAAAGAGGCAGGAGAGGAGTCCCAGGAATTCCAGGGCCGCGCAGCGCTCCACCTGCTACTTACACACGTGGGGACAGGAGGAAAGAGGCAGGAGAGGAGTCCCAGGAATTCAGGGCCGCGCAGCGCTCCACCTGCTACTTACACACGTGGGGCAGGAGGAAAAGAGGCAGGAGAGGAGTCCCAGGAATTCAGGGCCGCGCAGCGCTCCACCTGCTACTTACACACGTGGGGCAGGAGGAAAAGAGGCAGGAGAGGAGTCCCAGGAATTCAGGGCCGCGCAGCGCTCCACCTGCTACTTACACACGTGGGACAGGAGGAAAAGAGGCAGGAGAGGAAGTCCCAGGAATTCAGGGCCGCGCAGCGCTCCACCTGCTACTTACACACGTGGGACAGGAGGAAAAGAGGCAGGAGAGGAGTCCCAGGAATTCAGGGCCGCGCAGCGCTCCACCTGCTACTTACACACGTGGGACAGGAGGAAAAGAGGCAGGAGAGGAGTCCCAGGAATTCAGGGCCGCGCAGCGCTCCACCTGCTACTTACACACGTGGGGCAGGAGGAAAAGAGGCAGGAGAGGAGTCCCAGGAATTCAGGGCCGCGCAGCGCTCCACCTGCTACTTACACACGTGGGGCAGGAGGAAAAGAGGCAGGAGAGGAGTCCCAGGAATTCAGGGCCGCGCAGCGCTCCTACCCTGCTGCATTCTTTCGGTGTGTTTGGAACGTTTCACGGTGTAGTAAAGTTAAAACGGGGCTAAGCTGCTTTGGGGGAGGGGGTGTGGGATAAAATGGGGGGGTGCGGCACCTGGGCGGGCACCCCCCCCCCCCACACACACACACCTCTGCGCCGGGACAGGTTTGCTTGCGAGAGCGGGGGCGGGGCCGGGGCCCGGAGCGGGAGTGGAGCCGAGGCGGGGGAGGGGCCCTTCGCGATGCCTCGAATTCGGCGGCCGGCGGGCTGCGCAGGCGCAGTCGTGGGCTCCGCTGACGGGCGGAGCGATCCGTGGGCGGGACCTGAGCCGTAGTCCTTGGCCGGAGCCGCACCGGATGGGCGGGGTAGGGGGCGGGGCCATCCTCGGAGGGGCGGGGCGAGGACTGGCAACCCGGAAGGTCCCTTATCTCTCCGGGACCCGGGTCCTGCCATCGCCCGCTGGCCTCCCGCCCGGGCAGTTGCAGCCAGGATGGGCCGGAAGGTGACCGTGGCCACCTGCGCACTCAACCAGTGGGCCCTGGACTTCGAGGGCAATTTGCAAAGGATTTTGAAGAGTGAGTCTGGGGGCGGCGGGGGCCCGGGGTGGGGGTGGCGCACGGGCACTACGGTCGGGCCGGGGCTTGCCGGGGCGCGCTCACAGCCTTGCCCTGGGACACTCGCGGCCCTGGGCGTGGGATCAAGTGAGATAACGCGCTCAGGTCCTCCTCGGGAAGTGTTTATAGTTCCTGGGGACAAGCGGGATACCGCGGTGGCTCACGCCTCTAATCCCAGCACTTTGGGAGGCTGAGGCGGGTGGATCACGAGGTCAAGAGATCGAGACCATCCTGGTCAACATGGTGAAACCCCGTCTCTACTAAAAATACAAAAATTAGCTGGGCATGGTGGTGCTTGCCTGTAGTCCCAGCTACTCAGGAGGCTGAGGCAGGAGAATTGTCTGAACCCAGGAGGCGGAGGTTGCGGTGAGCCGAGATCGCGCCATTGCACTCCAGCCTGGGTAACAAGAGCGAAACTCCATCTCAAAAAGAAAAGAAAAGAAAAGCCTGGCGGTTTAGGTGGCAGACCTGGGGATGGACTGGGGTCCGGTGCCTGGGGCTGAGCTGCCCATCCTCGGAGATATCTAAGTTGGACGGAATGGCTGCCCACTGGCGGGTGCACGGTGTGCAGAGACCAGAGATTGATGGTTTCTGGTCCCCGTCGGCCTTCCTGGTGTGTGGGCATCGGGAGAAGGCATCGCAGAAAGGGAAGTGGTAAAAGAGCCAGGCGCTGTGGCTCACTCCTGTAATCCCAGCACTTTGGGGAGGGGGAGGATCAGCGGAGGTCAGGAGTTCAAGACCAGCCTGGCCAACATGGTGAAACCCTGACTCTGCTAAATATGCAAAGATTAGCCAGGTGGCCTGGAAGACAGGGTGTGGTTGTTGAAAGGCCACCATCTAATTTTCGTTTCTATGGACGCATCTTGGAGGATGAAAAGTCAAACTATACACCTGCACCTAAATGGGCAAGCCTGCAGGTGTGCTCAGGTTGCAGGTTGCCCTGTCTGGTCTGCTGACTGCAAGAGCCTTTGCCAGGAGCAAGAAAAACAGAATGTTTCAAGAGATGGCATTTTATCGGCATAGACCTTTTTTTTTTTTTGAGATAGAGTCTCACTCTGTCGCCCAGGCTGGAGTACAGTGGTGCCATCTTGGCTCACTCAGTCTCCGCCTCCTGTGCTCAAGTGATTCTTTTGCCTCAGCCTCCTGAGTAGCTGGTATTACAGGCGTCTGCCACCGCACATGGCTAATTTTTGTACTTTTAGTAGAGACAGGGTTTCACCATGTTAGCCAGGCTGGTCTCAAAGTCCTGACCTCACGTGATCCACCCTCCTCAGCCTCTCAAAGTGCTGGGATTACACTTCGAGAGGCTGAGCCACCACAGTCAGTGTTTTTTATATATCAACCTGCTTTCACCTCGTTTGCTCAGTGCAAATCCAGCTGGGCTGAAGGAGGCTGGGTGGCCAGAGCTAAGTTTCCATTCTGCCAGCCTCTCCTCCCTAAATGCTTGTTGGAAGCTGCTGGCCGAGAGCAGTAAGCTAATGGTTCCTGCCTGTGGCACCACTGCTGGATTGTTCTTTTTCCTCGGGATGGTGTTGAGCACCTCCTTGTTAATAAACTACCAGGGTGTGACTTATTCCTCCTCCTCCGCCTCCTCCGCGGTGCTCAACCCTGCAAGCTCTCCCTGTTTTCGTTTCCTGCAGGTATAGACAGATACATGAAAGTATGAGCATGTGTAGGAGTAAACGGGTGTATACACGTGTGTGCTGCCCCCTGCTGCCAGGCTGTCAACAGGAAGCCTGACTTCTTCCCGCTCCGGGAAGGCCCAGGGGATTTTTGTTTGTTATTTGTTTTATTTGTTTTGTTTTTGTTTTTTTTAAATCATACCTACAGCAGAAGGTTGTTTTATCTGTCTTTGAACATATAGGTGCTGAAATTGCCCCATTTTCTTTTTCTCTCTGTATTTTCAGGTATCGAAATTGCCAAAAACAGAGGAGCAAGATACAGACTTGGACCAGAGCTGGAAATATGGTGAGAACAGACACAGACTCCCTGGGGTGGTCGGGGAGCGATGCCTGCATCAGCCGTCCCCAGCTGAGAAGGCGAGGATGGAGCGGGACATGCCAGCTGCGGACATGCCACGCCCACTCTTGGGCCTGGTCAGTGCCGTTGAACACCTGAGCAAGAGCAGGCCCAGGGAGGCTGAATAAGTCTACATTGCCATCCCGCGTAATTAGAGGAACTGACTTTGACCAGATTAAGGCTGATTTCAAAGACGGGCAGCTTCCGTGTTCCCACTGCTGCCCTTTTGCTGTGTTCTGAATGTTTGCATCCCCCTAAGATTCCTGTGTTGAAACCCAACCCCCAGGTCACTGTATTAAGAGATGAGGTCTTTGAGCCTTTATGAATGGGATTAGTGTCCTTACAAGAGAGGCCGAAAGGAGCTTGTTGGCCCCTTCTGCCATGTGAGGGCAGAGGAGATAACCAGCCCTCACCAGATACCAGATCTGCCAGCACCTTGATGGCAGGCTTCCCAGACTCCAGAACAGTGAGAAGTACATTTCCGTTGTTTGTCAATCGCCCAGTCCAAGGCGTTTGGTTATAGCAGCCTGAAGGCCCAAGACATCGACCCAGGCTTTCATGTCTGTATTTGGCCCCACAGGATTTCCTCCCGTGCTGTCAACATCTTTCCACCAGCAAACTTAGGCAGTCGTTTCTTATATGTCTTTTTGTAAACATCAGGAAAATGGATTGCTTCTCTTCCTGTCCCTTCTTCACAAAATCAATGCGTAGCCACGTGGTAGGTCTCTCGTAAGCTGTAGTCCTTTCTCATTCTGGATGTCAGCTGCCCCCCTCTGTGCTCTGCTAGCTTCCTGTTGGTCTTTGAGGCCCCTGGCCCGCTGTGGAATCGGGAAGTCCCTCTTCAGCCTTTGTCCCCTGCCTTAGTGTGTGCTCTTGCTTCTGGACCTAGACTAAGCGGGAAGTGTCTTCTCTTAGGAGGTTTTGTGTGACTCTGGAGGCAGCTTCCTCTCAGTCCTTCCAAGTTACTTTCCTTCATTCAGCTGATTTCTCTCCTTAGAATCTCACCTTCAAACAGGCCTGTTCCCCCCATAATATCCAAGAAGGTTGACTCTGTTCTTTAATTTGTCTTCATTTGATTGACTCTTTAACAAGTTCTTCACCCGGCCGGGCGCGGTGGCTCACGCCTGTAATCCCAGCACTTTGGGAGGCCGAGGCGGGCGGATCACGAGGTCAAGAGATCGAGACCATCCTGGTCAACATGGTGAAACCCCGTCTCTACTAAAAATACAAAAATTAGCTGGGCACGGTGGCGCGTGCCTGTAATCCCAGCTACTCAGGAGGCTGAGGCAGGAGAATTGCCTGAACCCAGGAGGCGGAGGTTGCGGTGAGCCGAGATCGTGCCATCGCACTCCAGCCTGGGTAACAAGAGCGAAACTCCGTCTCAAAAAAAAAAAAAAGAAGTTCTTCACCTAAGCGCCAGGGGATCTAGGATTCTGGGTCGTCCGAGGTCTCAAAGCTTTGGTCCCCTCCTGGCCCATGGCCCGATCCTCTCCTGGGCCAGATTCAAGGCCTGATTGTCTCATGGGCCCGACCTCTCCTGGGCTGGCCCTGGGGCTCGACCCTCGTGTCCTGTCTGCTGCTAACCCTGGAGGAGCTGCAGTGGTGTCAGCCCAGGACCCCTGGCCTGACCTTGATACTTAGAGTGTAAGTCTTCCTTTCTTCCTTTGTTCTAGTCTCTCCCTTCTATAAAAGTTACACCCACCTCTCTCCTTCCTCCAAATATAGATCTGTTTCATTTTCAGAATGGGAGGATGTCTAACTATAGACCCCTGGGATGAAATATTTGTATCCAGCAGCGACAGGGGCCCAGCTGAGCAGGGCTCCACACAGCTCACAACCTGCTGAGCAGGCTCCTATTAAATATTGCAACAATTTACAAAGAAGAAACCGAGGCAGGGGAAGAGGGACATCACTTTACTGAGCACACTCTTGTTCTTTTTGTTGTTGTGAGTCGGAGTCTCGCTCTGTCACCCAGGCTGCAGTACAGTGGCCAGATCTCAGTTCACTGCAGTCTCCGCTGCCCAGGTACAAGCAATTCTCTGCCTCAGCCTCCCAAGTAGCTGGGATTACAGGCAGCGGCCACCACGCCTGGCTAATTTTTGTATTTTTAGTAGAGGTGAGGTTTCACCATCTTGGTCAGGCTGGTCTTGAATTCCTGACCTTGTGATCCACCCACCTCAGCCTCCCAAAGTGCTGGGATTACAGGCATGAGCCACCATGCCCGGCCACTTGTTCTTACTGGTCGGAAGTCCAGCACCTGATACAGAGAGAGGCCCACTGGCTTTAGAGCAGACTGACTCATGGACCACAGACCCTCAGCTGGAAAGGTTGGCGTTTCCTTTGAGCCAATGCTGGAGGCTTTGGAGAGGGAAGGCTGCCACCCAAGTGGGCCCTGGACACTGATTGACCATCCCCTGTGGGATGACCATCCCCCTCCAGCTGCTGGCACATCGAAGGGATGAGAGGCCTCTGGTCACCGGACACCATGGAGCGGGATGCTTGGCGTTGTAATGTTATTTGGTTTCACATGTGGGCCAGGACGCCAACAGGGTGTGAAAAGCCAGGAAACAGGGATATGTTGGAGGACAAAGGACATCTCAGGACTTCGTTGTTTTTTTTGTGTTTTTTTTTTTTTGAGATGGAGTCTTGCTCTGTTGCCAGGCTGGAGGGCAGTGGCTGACTCTGACTTCCGCCTCCTGGCTTCAAGCGATTCTCCTGCCTCAGCCTCCCAAGTAGCTGGGACTACAGGTGCGCATCATCAGGCCCAGCTAATTTTTGTATTTTTTTTTTTTTTAATTTTTTATTGCATTTTAGGTTTTGGGGTACATGAGCAGAACATGCAAGACAGTTGCATAGGTACACACATGGCAGTGTGTTTTGCTTCCTTTCTCCCCTCCCACTGGCCCTCCCCTTTTCTCCCCAATAGACCCCAGTGTTTACTACTCCCCTCCCTGTGTCCATGTGTTCTCATTTTTCATCACCCGCCTATGAGTGAGAATATGTGGTGTTTCATTTTCTGTTCTTGTGTCAGTTGAGACGAGGTTTCACCATGTTGGCCAGGGTGGTCTGGATCTCTTGACCTTGTGATCTGCCCGCCTCAGCCTCCCGAAATACTGGGATTACAGGCGTGAGCCACCGCGCCCTGCCAAGACTCCATTCCATACTGGGGCATTTCCTGGATACCTCTTCTATCCGAGAACTGGACGTTTCCTCTTAGCAGAGCCAAGGACAGACAGCAATGCTTTCCCAGATACTAAAAATTACACTTGCCGGTTTGGGGCTTTATGCGGCTGTGTGCGAGGTTTGCTGAGCATTTGAAATGTGCCTTCCCAGCTGAAGCATAGCAGAAAAGAAGACTTCCTGAAGAGTTGTAAGTGAGCTACAAATACTATAGTTTATTATGGGAACCCCAATGCTAAGCAGCCCAGTCTTCACATGTTATGACACCACGGGTCACTGAATTCATTCCAGTGACTGCCGAACAGACGGGAACAGCTAGTGGCTTAAAGCAACAGAAATTTCTTCTCTCACAGTTCAGGAAGCCGGAAGTCCACAGTCAGGATGGCAGCAGGGCCCGGCTCCCTCCGAAGGCTCTGGGGCAGGGTCCCTCCTGCCTTTCCCAGCTCCCGGTGGCTCCAGGCACCCCTTGGCTTGCGGCCACATCGCTCCCCGCTCTGCCTCCGTCCTCACGTTGCCTCCCCCCGTTCTCCCTGTCTCCCCTCTCCTTTCTCTTACAAGGACACTTGTCACTGGATTTAGGCTCACCTGCAAAAGCCAGGGTGATCTCATCCCGGGATCCTGAATTCAGTCAGCTACATCAGCAGATTCTTTTTCTAAAATGAAGTCACATTCGCAGGTTTCTGAGGTTGGGAGATGGACAGACCTTTTTGGGGTCCATCCTTCCGCCCACTGCAAGCATCTATAGCAAAAAACTCAGGGGTGGCTTTGTGGGTGGTTTTTCCGAATGGTTATTAGTGATCTTCTTTGGCAAAAAATGTATTTCTGTGGGTCCAGCTTCATTCCTTTGGGGTTCTTCTCTTGTAGATCAGTGTCCTTTGCGCCACATTAAAGGTTAAAAGGAAACCCAAGGGCAGGCACTTCCTGAGCCACAGCCAGTTTTTGTAGTAACTCGGAACTCAGCGGGAGGAGCGGGGCCATGTTCTTCACCGTCACCTAAGCGCATCGTGCGGTGGCGGTGCTGCTTATGCTGGCCGCTCTTTGGAATCACCTGGAACGCTTTGAGAACTCATCTGAGCCCCGCCCCCCACACACGTTTGGACTGCACTGGCCCACAGCCCTGCCCCTCCACGCTCACCTGCTTGTTTCTGGAGCTCACTTTCTCTCTGGCTCTGCAGCGGCTACGGATGCTGGGATCATTACTATGAGTCGGACACACTCCTGCACTCGTTTCAAGTCCTCGCTGCCCTTCTGGAGTCTCCTGTCACTCAGGACATCATCTGCGACGTCGGGATGTAAGTGCCAGCCTGAGTGTGGAAGGGCAAGCCCGGGACAAGGGCAAGCTCCAGGGCCTGAGCCACCCAACCGCCTCCGTCCAGGGTGTGGAACCTACTTGCGTCCAGGGATCCCAAAGGCCTTATGCTTGAAAAGGGGGTTTTGTTCCTGTCCCGGCCCTATGAGCCACCTCATTTCCCCTGCAAGCACGTAGCTCCTAGAAGCAGGATGTGTCAGCTCTTCCAGAAGGTCCCGTGCACACATCAGCATACTCTGCACAAAGGAGAATGCAGTGGTCATCCCATTGCGAGCAAAGAGCCTTAGTTCATGGGGAGTCTCAGGCTAGTTCCACGTCCACGTGTCACCACGTGGTTCTCATGGCCTAAGCTGCATATGCATAGCTGTCCCTGTGGAGGCCTCTGCACACTCCATGATGGTGTATGTGCTGTGCCCTGCATAGCTGTCCCCGTGAAGGCCTCTGCACACTCCATGATGGTGTCTGTGCTGTGCCCTGCACAGCTGTCCCCGTGGAGGCCTCTGCACGCTCTGTGCTGGTGTCTGTGCTGTGCCCTGCATAGCTGTCCCCGTGGAGGCCTCTGCAGACTCCATGATGGTATCTGTGCTGTGCCCTGCACAGCTGTCCCCGTGGAGGCCTCTGCACGCTCCATGATGGTGTGTGTGCTGTGCCCTGCATAGCTGTCCCCGTGGAGGCCTCTGCACGCTCCATGATGGTGTCTGTGCTGTGCCCTGCATAGCTGTCCCTGTGGAGGCCTCTGCATGTGCTGAGTTTGAGATTGAGACACTCCAGAGGCCGAGGTGAGGGGAGCGTGAAGTCCATGCCCAGTCCTGAGAAAGCGCCCACCTGGGTGATGGGTGGATGGGTCCCTGTCCCAGGAGGTGGTGAAAATGGGCTCAGGGTGGAGAGGGGCTGGAAAGTGGGTGCCACAGCTGAAGGTGAGTCAGTGAGGAGGGCAAGGGATGGGGAGGAGGCAGCAGAGGCCTGAACATTACAGGAGGAGAGGGAAGACCCCTGCGGCAGAATGACTTTGCCCTCCATTGAGAAGCGGCCGTCTAGTCTCAGAGTCTGTGCTGCCTGCATGGCAGAACCATCTTTGCTCATCTTAGTTTTGATTTGAGGGCTTCTCGGAAGAGCCCTGCAGTTCTCTGAAGGGATCGGAGGAAGCTTCATATGGAAGTAAAATGCAGGCTTCTGGGGCTGCAGCTGCCTCCTCCGCTTGCTCTGTGTTTTCAAAACTTTGCAGACACGCACCTACCTCCCCTCTGTCCTGCAGGCCTGTGGTGCACCGAAACGTCCGCTACAACTGCAGGGTGATATTCCTCAGCAGGTAGGCTCCCCACAGCTGCAGGGTGACATTCCTCAGCAGGTAGGCTCCCCACAGCTGCAGGGTGACATTCCTCAGCAGGTAGGCTCCCCACAGCTGCAGGGTGACATTCCTCAGCAGGTAGGCTCCCCACAGCTGCAGGGTGACATTCCTCAGCAGGTAGGCTCCCCACAGCTGCAGGGTGATATTCCTCAGCAGGTAGGCTCCCCACAGCTGCAGGGTGATATTCCTCAGCAGGTAGGCTCCCCACAGCTGCAGGGTGATACTCCTCAGCAGGTAGGCTCCCCACAGCTGCAGGGTGATGTTCCTCAGCAGGTAGGCTCCCCACAGCTGCAGGGTGATATTCCTCAGCAGGTAGGCTCCCCACAGCTGCAGGGTGATATTCCTCAGCAGGTAGGCTCCCCACAGCTGCAGGGTGATCTTCCTCAGCAGGTAGGCTCCCCACAGCTGCAGGGTGATGCTCCTCAGCAGGTAGGCTCCCCACAGCTGCAGGGTGATGCTCCTCAGCAGGTAGGCTCCCCACAGCTGCAGGGTGATGCTCCTCAGCAGGTAGGCTCCCCACAGCTGCAGGGTGATGCTCCTCAGCAGGTAGGCTCCCCACAGCTGCAGGGTGATGTTCCTCAGCAGGTAGGCTCCCCACAGCTGCAGGGTGACGTTCCTCAGCAGGTAGGCTCCCCACAGCTGCAGGGTGATATTCCTCAGCAGGTAGGCTCCCCACAGCTGCAGGGTGATATTCCTCAGCAGGTAGGCTCCCCACAGCTGCAGGGTGATATTCCTCAGCAGGTAGGCTCCCCACAGCTGCAGGGTGACATTCCTCAGCAGGTAGGCTCCCCACAGCTGCAGGGTGACATTCCTCAGCAGGTAGGCTCCCCACAGCTGCAGGGTGACATTCCTCAGCAGGTAGGCTCCCCACAGCTGCAGGGTGATATTCCTCAGCAGGTAGGCTCCCCACAGCTGCAGGGTGATGCTCCTCAGCAGGTAGGCTCCCCACAGCTGCAGGGTGATGTTCCTCAGCAGGTAGGCTCCCCACAGCTGCAGGGTGATATTCCTCAGCAGGTAGGCTCCCCACAGCTGCAGGGTGATATTCCTCAGCAGGTAGGCTCCCCACAGCTGCAGGGTGATATTCCTCAGCAGGTAGGCTCCCCACAGCTGCAGGGTGATGCTCCTCAGCAGGTAGGCTCCCCACAGCTGCAGGGTGATGCTCCTCAGCAGGTAGGCTCCCCACAGCTGCAGGGTGATGCTCCTCAGCAGGTAGGCTCCCCACAGCTGCAGGGTGATGCTCCTCAGCAGGTAGGCTCCCCACAGCTGCAGGGTGATATTCCTCAGCAGGTAGGCTCCCCACAGCTGCAGGGTGACGTTCCTCAGCAGGTAGGCTCCCCACAGCTGCAGGGTGATATTCCTCAGCAGGTAGGCTCACCACAGCTGCAGGGTGATATTCCTCAGCAGGTAGGCTCCCCACAGCTGCAGGGTGATATTCCTCAGCAGGTAGGCTCCCCACAGCTGCAGGGTGACGTTCCTCAGCAGGTAGGCTCCCCACAGCTGCAGGGTGACATTCCTCAGCAGGTAGGCTCCCCACAGCTGCAGGGTGATATTCCTCAGCAGGTAGGCTCCCCACAGCTGCAGGGTGATATTCCTCAGCAGGTAGGCTCCCCACAGCTGCAGGGTGACGTTCCTCAGCAGGTAGGCTCCCCACAGCTGCAGGGTGACGTTCCTCAGCAGGTAGGCTCCCCACAGCTGCAGGGTGATATTCCTCAGCAGGTAGGCTCCCCACAGCTGCAGGGTGACGTTCCTCAGCAGGTAGGCTCCCCACAGCTGCAGGGTGATATTCCTCAGCAGGTAGGCTCCCCACAGCTGCAGGGTGATATTCCTCAGCAGGTAGGCTCCCCACAGCTGCAGGGTGATATTCCTCAGCAGGTAGGCTCCCCACAGCTGCAGGGTGACGTTCCTCAGCAGGTAGGCTCCCCACAGCTGCAGGGTGACGTTCCTCAGCAGGTAGGCTCCCCACAGCTGCAGGGTGACACTCCTCAGCAGGTAGGCTCCCCACAGCTGCAGGGTGATATTCCTCAGCAGGTAGGCTCCCCACAGCTGCAGGGTGACACTCCTCAGCAGGTAGGCTCCCCACAGCTGCAGGGTGATATTCTTCAGCAGGTAGGCTCCCCACAGCTGCAGGGTGACATTCCTCAGCAGGTAGGCTCCCCACAGCTGCAGGGTGATATTCCTCAGCAGGTAGGCTTCCCACAGCTGCAGGGTGACGTTCCTCAGCAGGTAGGCTCCCTGCCCCTACCCCTGGGAGGGCGACCGGCGCCTCTTCCTGGCTCTCAGCCGAGGACTGCCGGGACGTGTTCTGGTGCCCTGGGGACCCATTGCTGGGAGGCTGCTTCTGGAAGTACCTGGGCTCAGTGAGGGTGGTGCACCTGGCAGGTGATCCAGGGTCCTATGCTTCTCTGGGTCCCAACCACCACCGACACAGGCATCCTCAGGTATCAGAATGAGAGAGACAAGGGTGTGAGCACCCTGGTCCCTGTGGCCTAGAAGCCATTCCAGGTGAGCTCCAACGCTGGTCGTCAGCTGCTGTTGAGGTACACACCTGCTGGAGCTTAGCTGCTTCATGGTTGACAGTCAGGGATGGATGCAGCCACGGGGACCCGAGTCATAGACAGAAAGCTGAAGCGCAGTGAAGGAAAGAGATTGGCTTGCGGCCCCATTCTCGAGCTCACTCTGCACGCATCACCTTGTCCTTTGGTGGCCGTGACCACCGGCAGTGGCACATGCGTCTCAGGAGCCCCATGTGCATGGCCCCGTTCCCCTGCCTGCAGGAAGATCCTGCTCATCAGACCCAAGATGGCCTTGGCCAACGAGGCCAACTACCACGAGCTGCGCTGGTTCACCCCGTGGTCGAGGAGTCGGTGAGTCGGGACCCGACAGCCCTGGGATATGTGTTAAGCCCCTTCGCCGTGTGTAGCCTCAGGTCCTGATCTGGGAGTGTTACTGGTGGAGGGTGGCCAGGTTCTTGGTGTTTTGAATGAAGAATTGGACAGAAAGTACAAACAAAGCAAAACAAGGATGAAGCAATGAAAGCAGAGATTCATGGAAAACGAAAGCCCAGCCAGGGGCGGTGGCTCACACCTGTAATCCCAGCGCTTGGGGAGGCTGAGGTGGGTGGATCACGAGGTGAGGAGTTCGAGAGCAGCCAGGCCAAGACAGTGAAACCCCATCTCTACTAAAACAAACAAAAAAAAAAATACAAAAAAAAAAAATTAGCCAGGCATTGTGGCAGGTACCTGTAATCCCAGCTTCTCGGGAGGCTGAGGCAGGAGAATCACTTGAACTCGGGAGGCGGAGGTTGCCGTGAGCTGAGATTGCAACACTGCAGTCCAGCCTAGGCAACAGAGTGAGACTCTATCTCGAGAAAAGAGAAAAAATAAAGAAAAAGGAAAGAAAATGAAAGCCCAGTCCACAGGGTAAGAGTGGGCCGAACAAGCAGCTCAAGGGCCTGGTTCCAGAATGTTCTGGGGTTTAAATATCCTCTAGAGACCTCCCGCTGGTGACTTGGGCTGCATCCTGTGCAGAGGAAGACGCGAAGGGAAGTTGCAGAGGATTTACTTGGCGTACACACTACGCAGATAAGGAGGATGTTTCCTGGCAGACGTGGCTCCAAAGTACTTACTGGGCCTTAGAAAGCCGGGGTTTGTTGTTTGACTTACTTCTAGGAAGTCCTTAGGTTTCCTGCCCCCAGGCCCTTCTCAGCAGTGTCACTGGTAGGGACTAGCTGGGGCGGATGGTGCAGGTGGTAAAGGGGTTTACCAAGAGAGTTGTATGGAAGGAGGCAGATTTATTGGAGAACATATGAAAATACGTTTTAGGATTGCAACAGGCAGCAGAGCAGAGAAGGGGCTGTCTGCAGAGACAGGGCTGGAGGGAAGCTGTATGGGGTTGTGCTGGAGGGGGCTACACAGGGGATGAGGTGGACCTGCAGGGACCATGGACAGGGAGGTCATTGTGCCTGTGGAGGTCATCGTGCCCTCAGGGTATTCTCTCGGAACACGTGTTCCTGGGTGTCCCACATCTGGAGCCCCTCCCTCCTTGCTTCCTTACCTGATCAGGCCTCCCCAGGTAGGAGATGCGCAGGAACGCGGGCCAGGTCTCCGCCCCCTGGTGCCACCCCCTTACATGTCTGACTGTTGCTGCTGATTACACTGTGGCCAGGCTCAGCGCAGATCACGTGGAACTCGAGGTTCTCCATCAGGGATATTAGTCATGTCGGGTGAAGCACCACGTTCATCTCATGTGATACTGAATGTCAGGTGTCACGTCTTCACCTGGGTGACATTTGGGTTGTTCTTTGTCACAATGGGGCATCCACCATGTGCATCCTCAGGCATTTACTGGCATCACTGGTCCCCCAACAGATGCTCCCAGTTCTGACAACCAAAAGTGTCCCCAGACATTACCGGATGTCCCCAGGGGGGCAAAATTGCCCAGTTGAGAAGTCCTGCTGTTTCTAAAGTTTTTCCCATGTTTCATCCTTGTTACTGTAAATGGACTCTGTAATACCGCATTTTTAAGCGGTTAGCATTTTGTGTAGGAACACTTTATTTTTATGTCACTTTTGTCATTGACCACTAAATTCCCCTCTCGTGTCTGGTGGTTGGTCTGTTGATTTTTGTAGTTTTTCTGTCGAGTTGAACTTATGTAATCTGCAACACATTTTCCTATTCCTTCAGGATTTACATCTCTCGGTTCATTTGCTTCACTGTTCTTGGCAGCATTTCTGGAACAATGTTCTAGATCATCTCTGGAGCAAAATTCTGGTTCTCAGCTTATCCCCTGTGACATGTCTCTTGGTAAAGCTGAACATCAGCGTGTGGGGAAACTGAGACCCCCCCCATGCGTGCAGAGCCCAGCCCCCCACGGTGTCACACGTCTCAAGTCACCTCCACACTCTCCTCTTCATCTTAACATGATTGTTGACTGCACTGGGGAGCGGCTGGCAGGGCCTTTGCCAGTTGGCCCATTTGGAGGGTTCAGTTTGCTTTTTGTTTGAATGTAGCTGCCATTCCTCGTTTGTCCTGAGATGCTCCTCCTCAGACCCGCGGTGTTTTGCTCTCCAGGCACACAGAGGAGTACTTTCTGCCTCGGATGATACGGGACCTGACGAAGCAGGCGAGTCCCTGAGTGTGGAGCCCGTTTTTCCGTCAGTCGTGGCTGTTCTCAGCCAACAGTGCACGGGGTGGGGCGGGAACTCTTTGGGATCCAGGAAACGGAAGGCACCACGGTGCGCCCAGGTCCGAAACAGACCAAGGGGGCAGCTTCCTACAGTGAGGGCAGTGGCCGGGGTGGCTTCTCTTTACCTCGGGGCTGCTTTTCCACCCATGCCTCCCTCCCTGCCTCCGCTCACACTGGCTTCCTCCTCTTTTTTTCCCTCCCTGTGGCAGAGGACGGCCTGCTCCACCCCCAGGGACTGTGTTCCCACATTTAAGCCTTATCTAGACCCACAACAAAATGCCGTGTTCTCAGTTTTGAATTCTAAGAGAAGGCGCCCTGGTGTCCCCTGCTCAGCCGCCGCCCTGTGGCTGGGAGTGGGGGGCCGGGCTGCGTCACCGCCCAGGGCAGCAGCTGTTTCGATGTGATCACAGGACAGGGCCGCTTCAGAAGCTGCTGGCCCCGACTGGCAGCCCCGTCAGTGTCCCCTTGGCTGCTCAGAGTACAGGCGTCCCCTTCTTCTGCACGTAGACTCCTAAAGATGCCTCTGCCTGGCACCACTCGTGTTTCCATTTGCAGCCGCAGGGCACCCACCTCTTCTGCATGTGTGAGAGCCCAGAGCCATGTGGTTGCGAGATGTCCATGGTCCTAGGGGTAGTGCATGGCCCGGACGGGGTGTGGCCAGCAAGTCTCACGCAGTCTTCCCTTCCAAATGCAGGAAACTGTGCCCTTCGGAGACGCGGTGCTGGCGACGTGGGACACCTGCATTGGAAGTGAGATCTGTGAGGAGCTCTGGACACCCCACAGGTCAGCCCCACGCCCCCATGCTGTCCAGTCTCCACCACACGCGGGCCAGCTGGGAGGACCTGGGACTGCAGACCTCCTGGGGCCATGGCTGTGGGCTGGGAACTGCCGTGGAAAGTGCGAGGGGCCACCCGGGAGGCTGGGTTGGAGGAATCTGGTAGTCTTTTCTCTTCACCTGCCCCTGCCCGCAGCCCGCACATCGACATGGGCCTGGATGGCGTGGAGATTGTCACCAATGCCTCCAGCAGCCACCATGTGCTACGCAAAGCCAACACCAGGGTGGATCTCGTGACTATGGCCACCACCAAGGTAGGGGTCGGTTCGGGCTGAGGAGTGGGCGCCATGGGGCAGGCGCTGCGTCTCAAGCACTCCTGCGTCCTCAGTGCCCAACTCAGGGCTGAGCCCATGCACGATGGGCATCCGGGCTTGCAATTACAGTCTGTACTCAGCAAGTGTGCCCTGCTGCCCTCCGGGGCTCCGCCAGCACAGCCCGTCTCACCTACACAGCCCCCCCCTGTGAAACAGACCTGGTCCCCCTCTCTGCAGTGACCAGGAACAGGGACATGGCATCACGGCAGGGTATGGGAGATGCCTGCCACCCGTGCATTTGCTGATCCTGCTCTTGGCCAGTGAGGCGTGCAAGGGGCGGTGCTGGTTAGTCATTCAGGTGCAGGCGTGGGTTTAGCTAAGCCACCTTTGGATCTGGGCTTTGTCCACGGAGCTCTCTTTGGCTTGTCTGAACCGCATCGTGCCTGAGGGAGGTGACGGAGCCTGCCTTGCGGGGTTGTTATGAAGCAAAAAACAAATGAAGCCAACGTCTTGTGTAAAGGCTGGTACCCAGCAAGGCCAGGCTTGCTGAGGCTTCACGGCTCTGTGCCCCCCTGCATGTGTGCCTTCTCTCTGTAGCAGTGGGGCCACTCACCATAACCTAGTGGGACTGGGGGGACATTCTGTATGTGGGCAGGTGGCAGGCAAGGCTGGTGGACCACAGCTGACCCCTCCGCGGTGGCTCCGCCTCTTTCAGAACGGTGGGATTTACTTGCTGGCCAACCAGAAGGGCTGTGACGGGGACCGCCTCTACTACGACGGCTGCGCCATGATTGCCATGAACGGGAGCATCTTTGCTCAGGGATCCCAGTTTTCTCTGGATGACGTGGTAATGAGCGGGCGTGGACGTGACTGGAGGAGGGTTCCCTGTGCAGAGGCTGAGCCCCTGCCCTCCCCTGTAAGCCGGGTGCTTAGTGAGGGCCCCTGTGATGAGGTTGACCTCCTGTCCTTGGATCTGGGGACAGCCGAACCCTGACACATGACCCATGGCCCTGGATGGATGGGGGCGAGGGCAGCTCACCAGTCCCGTGTACCCACAGTCCGGGAGGAGGGCGCCGTGCCACACAGGAACCGAGGGGATGGTTCTGCTGTGGGAGGCAGGCTTTGTGGTAAGGAGAGGGTGGGTGCCGCCTGGTCCCGGCAGGAGGGTGTAGTTGGTTGGTTTGAATTCTGAGGGCTGGAGGGAACCAAAGCCTCTCCTTTGAAATGAGCAGGCTCCATGGCCCCCAAGACAGGGCTAGGGATGCCGTGTCTGGTTAGGGGGTCTTATCCACGGGAGCAGAGCTGGCGGGGTGCTCATGGTGAGTCCGTTGGAGGTCCTGTTGAGGGCACATATACTCATCCTAGGCCTTAGGCCACGCCGCCCCTGCATCCTGGGAAGCAGGAGTGGAGACCCCAGGACACTCTGGTCGGGGAGGCTATGTTCTGTGGGGCTCTCTGAGCACACACTGGCCGGCGGCATGGGGACAGCCCCGGGGGAGCTATGAGTCAGAGTTCGGAAGTGCCGTTGCTATCCAAAGCCACACATACATGCGAGGGTCCCCAGCGCTCCCTCCCACACAGTGCCACCTGCCTGGCCTTTGGCCCCGATGGCCTTCTGCTCTGCTCTTCTTGGGGACAGGCATTAAAGCGGCAGATTCACCGAGGCAGGCGGTAGCAGGGGAGACGTTTCCGCAGCTGGCTTCGCAGGAGCAGGGCGCACTTGTGTCCTGGTGTCACCACCTCGGCCAGGCTCTCAGAGCAGTTTCGTTGCTTTGCTGCCCCTGCATTCCCATCGTGTGATTCTCTCTGGTGCTTTCTGCACAGCATCCGTGCGGTCAGCATGGAGCTGGTTACGGAACCAAAGCAGTTTCAAGTGGACTCGGTGGACTTCAGCGTGAAACAGGATTCCATGGTCTTTTCAGGGCTCTCTTGCATAGGGTGTAGGCAAGGGTGCGGCCGTCTCGGCCCCAGGCCCTGCTTTCCACGTGACAGTGTCCCCAAAAGGCCTCTTTGTTCTTCGTGGTTAAGCATGACCGAGCTGGAAGGGCTTTGAGGAGGAAGATTAAGTTCCTGCTGATGGGAAGTATGGTCCTCTCCCTGTTGCCCGTGTCAAAGCCACAGGCACGTTGGTCGTGTTGATTGGCAGGTGTATTAGGAATCACCTGCCCCAGGACCCCCCAGGGTTCCCCGCCCCACGTCGACCCCCCGATCAGAGTCCTTGGGGTCTGCGTTTTTAGTGATCATCAGGAGATTGTTCCACACACTGGAATCCAGGAGCCACTGCTTTACGCATCACTAGAATTTCTGGTGGTGCCCGCATGGTCCGTCCTAGGCTGCAGCCACGGGCCTGCCACGTTGAGGGTGACACTGCCGTCCTCAGGCTCTAGCCACTGCCCTCCGCCAGGTCCTCTGTGTTGCACCTGAAATGGTCGGCAGAAGCCTCGTGACGTGTGGAATCATTTAGTCGTTCCTTCTGCCTCCAGCTCAAGCAACTGACCTGCCGATCCCCCTCTGGGCCACGTTCCTCAGGGTCTTCCTAATCCCCTGGGTTTTCTGGCTTGTTGTGCACCTGGAATCCTGCTATGGTGAACCTAGCCCTGGGGAGAGCAAGAGACAGCCACCTTCTCACGAATGACCCCTGCCACCCCGTCTCTATTGCTTTGAGGCTTCACACTTACCGTGGCTTAACACATGGACATTTGGTGGCCGCGGTGCCAACGCTTTGGAAAGCAGCCAGAGAACCACAGGATGTGTGAACTGGTCTCCTGGTCTTCCCGGCATTTCCAGCCAGGTCTGGCCCACTGTGACGGCGGCAGGAGCGAGGGGCGTGCCAGGCGGCTGCGGCCGTCCTGTGAACCGCCGCAGTGGTGCCCACACTTGCTGCTCTCCCACACTTGCACTAGGCAAGGCAACTGTCAGAAACACAATTGGATAAAGACATTTCTTCATGAAGGAATAACCCCTATGAGTTAAAACGTCATTTCTGCATATACTGCAATTGGCAGATCCCCTACCAGAGCCAGGTTCAAAGGCAGGACAGCGTCACAGACACAGGCGGCACAGGCCGGGACCCTGGTGTGGATGCCGGGGCTGCGGCTCTGCCTCTGCCGTTCCCCAGCTCCACCCACCCCGTCTTCACACTGCCACATGCAGAGGCAGCAAAGGGGCCTTGCTCCCTTGTGTCTTTTTGATGAGAGAGGTGTTCCCAGAAGTCCCCGGCAGGGGCTGATTGACAGGGTGGCGTCTTGTGCAGTGCTGAGTGGGTGACTGGCAAGTGTCTGAATGCAGTGGAGGTTCTGGTGGCAACAGTGAGGGGGTAGGGCTGTGGGTCGGCCTCAATGTTGTCTGTCCTGTCCTTGGGTCCCCAGGAATCCAGGAGTCTTAGCCCCTGCTTTAGAAGGTGCAGCAACACCTGTGGCAGTGGCCAAATGACACAGGGGAGTGGAGCAGGTTCTCTCTGAAATCTCCTTCCCCAGGAAGTCCTGACGGCCACGCTGGATCTGGAGGACGTCCGGAGCTACAGGGCAGAGATTTCGTCTCGAAACCTGGCGGTGAGTGCTCCAGTAGATACCCGAGTGGGATGCTCATCACAGGTGTGGAAAGTCGCCCCATTTGTGCGGGCGTGGTGGAGGCCGTGAGGGCGCAGTGCCCGAAAACTCTGATGGGGACGTTCCGGGCTTCCCGAGTGCGGAAGGGGCTGGTGCTGCAGACGGAAACTGCTTCCATCTGTTCCCAGTCGTCCTCTGCTGGAGCCAGGCCCTGAGCTGGGGTGAGCGGGGCAGGCAGGCAGAGAGGCCGACAAGACAGCCTTGGAGGCCAGGAAAGCCTTGAGATGGCGGGTGGCAAGTGTGGTGGGGACAGGCACGCAGAGTGTAGCTGAGGCTGGCCCCCACCTCGGAAGTCAGGGGCAAGGTCCACGGCGCACACGAGCCCGTGTCTGAGTCCCGGGATGCAGATAACGCCCCTCCTCCTGCCCGAGGTCCTGCTGGGAACCTGCAGCCGTGCGTTTGTGCAGGACGCCCTCACAAATAGCTTATCAAACTGTGCAGCTGTCACGAGACAGTGATTTTTGCAAACTCTGAAGAAGTGTCATGCTCATAGCAGAGTGGACCCTTCTGCTGTTGGTCGATTGATTGAGACAGGGTCTCGTTCCGTCGCCCAGGCTCGAGTGCAGTGGTGCCATTGTGATGGCAGCCTGGACCTCTGGGCTTTAAGTGATCCTCCCACCTCAGCCTCCCCGAGTAGCTGAGACAACAGACACGCCACCAAGCCCAACTGATTTGTTGCTTTTGTTTTTTAGTAGAGACAGACTCTCACTCTGTTGCCCAGGATGGTCTTGAAGTCCTGGGCTTAAGCAGTCCTCTGGCCTCAGACGCCCGAAGTGTCAGGGTTGCAGGTGTGAGACGCCGGGCTCAGCCTTTTCTATAACAGCTTTAGTAGGCTGTATTTGCCACATCACCCAGTGTCTCCGTGCAAGCACCTGGTTCGGTGGTGTTTAGTGTACCCATGGCATTATACAGCCACAGTCTTAGAGCATTTTCATTACCCCAGAAAGAAATTCTAGCCATTAAGCACCGCCATGCCCCTCCTCCGGCCCTGGCAGCCACAGGTCTGCTCTCTGTCTCTCTGCATTTTCCTATTCCGAACATTGCATCGGGATGAAATCACAGCGTATGGCCTTCGGTGTCTGGCTTCCCGCACTTGCTATGCTGTTTTCAAGGTTCATCTGTGTGTCGGTGCAGTCGCCCCTCTGTATCCATGGGGATGGGATCCCGGAGCCCCCACTGACCCCCTGCAGGGATGCCCGTACCCCACAGTCCACCCCGCAGAACTCACTGTTACAAAGAGTCGGCCCTCTGTATATGGGTTTCAGATCTTGAGAATACTGTGCCTTTTATCTGTGTGCGGTTGAACCTGGGGGTTTAGAACCCGCAGATACGGGGTGTGGCTGTAATTCATCCCTTTGTGTCATCAGAGAGTTCCGTAGCCACGATGTTCACATTCTGTTGCTCCACTAGTCATTCCCAACTGGCCATTGGGAACGTTTCCCCTTCCCGTCAGATCAATTCTGCTACAGACATGCATGTACATCCGTTGGAGGGGACGTGTTTTCATTTTCTTGGATGTGTCTGTCCAGGAGCGGACTTGGCTGGGTCGTATGGTAACTGTTTAGCCTTTTGAGGAGCTGCCAGAGTGTTTGCCGAGAGGTGGCACCATGGTGGGTTCCCGGCAGGCGGAGATGAGAATCCCAGTTTCTCGTCACCCTCTAGCTCCTGTTGCCATCTGTCATTTTGCTCCTCGCCATCCTCGTCGGAGTGAGGGCAGCCTCACTGTGGTTTTGACGTGCTTTTCCATAGCTGCTGGAGCCCTGCTTGTCTGTGGGTCCTGGGGACCTGGAGGGTTTCCGTGGAGCTGGGAGTCATTCTGTCTTGAATCTCCATCGCCAGGCCAGCAGGGCAAGCCCCTACCCCCGGGTGAAGGTGGACTTCGCCCTCTCATGCCACGAGGACTTGCTGGCACCCGTCTCTGAGCCCATCGAGTGGAAATACCACAGCCCCGAGGAGGAGATAAGGTGTGTGGCCCCTGACTCCTGGGAGGGACCTGGTGTCTGCATGGCCACACCTCTGGGGTGGGGACCCCTGGAGGTCACACAATGGGTTTTCAGAACCTACCCAGGTGGGGACTTGGCAGGAGCGGGCTGTGCCTCCCTGGGTTGAGGGCATGGAGGCCAGAGTCTGACTGCCTAGGTGTGACCCCCAGCCCTGCTGCTTCCCCATGCTGCGACTTGGGCCCCAAGGTGCCGTCCGTTCTGTGTCTCAGTGTCCCCAGTTTAAAATGATGATGATAATACCTGCATCCCCGGGTTGTCTTGAGAATCACATGCATCCCTTCACACCGGGTACCTGAAGCAGTCAGGCCTCCTGAGAGCTCTGCGTCGACTCGCACTGCAGCCTCCTGGGGCTGTCCAGGCGGGTTGCCAGGGGTGCTGTGGGCCAGGGTTGCCCTCTGGGCTCCATGTTCTGATTGCCTTGCAGCCTTGGACCTGCCTGCTGGCTCTGGGACTTTTTAAGGCGAAGCCAACAGGTAAGACTCCCAGTTTCTAGGGAGCCCATCTTGCTGTGCTACTGGTTGGTCTGGTTTTATTCTGGGGCAGGGCAGGGTTTGTTTTTTTTTAATGAAAACAATAAAAAGCATTTCATCACTCTGCCTCCATGGGGAGCTTAGTGTTTGCTAGCCAGAGGCAAGGTGGGCACAGCGGCTGGTGGGTCAGCTCCAGCTCTGGAGGCGCGGCAGGACCTGGTCTGACGGCGTTCAGCGTCGCGGTCACCATTGTGATCATGCGTATCCGAGATTCATCAGTGCAGTGGGCCCCACCCCCCGAAGCATCTCTTTTCCCTCTGGAAAATCCATTCACCCTGTGGGCATTTGTCCTGACCTCAGGGAAAGAGCTAACACCCACGTGCATTTCTGTGGATGCCTCCTTGAGGTCTGCGGGTGGAGTTAGGCTGATCTTCGGACACGCTGCTTCTCCGAGGCTCTGCTCACACCGTGTTTGGTTGGCTCATTCTAGGCGGGGTTTTTGCTGCCCCTGAGTGGCGGGGTGGACAGCGCGGCCACTGCCTGCCTCGTCTACTCCATGTGCTGCCAGGTCTGCGAAGCTGTGAGAAGCGGAAGTAGGTGGCATCTATTGGCACGAGGGAGGCTCCAGGGAACCAGCCCTCAGGCTGCTTGAGTGGGGGATCTAGGAGGGGGCAGAGGAAACACCTGGGCCATGGATATCGGGGTGAAGGGGGCTTTGTGGCCATGCACAAATGACAAGCGTCACATCCCAGTCCTGCAGCAAGGCCCTCGGCAGCTTCGCCCTCGGCAGCTTCCTGGGGCTTTGGGCACATGCGGCTGAGTCTCCAGAGCTGCACCTGCCTGCTCTGTGCACAGTGTGGCCGGGTGGAAACATGCAGGCGTGGGAGGTTCACATTCTCCCCTGTGTGCTGTGGCATCGGACATCACCTTAGCATGTGCAACAGCACAGGGCAGTGATACCCATTGGTTGGGGCTATGGGCCATAGTGTGGGCTGGAGACACACGGGCACCAGAGGGTATAGATGGGGGTGGGAGCACACAGTCATCTGGGGGTGTAGATGGGGTGGAGCCAGTCATCTAGGGGTATAGATGGGGTGGAGCCACATGGGCACCAGGGGGTATAGACGGGGGTGGAGCTGCACAGTCACCTGGGGCTGTAGATGGGGTGGAGCCACTCAGTCATCTGGGGGTATAGATGGGGTGGAGCCACACGGGCACCAGGGGGTGTAGATGGGGTGGAGCCACACGGGCACGGGGGGGGGGGAGGGGGGCGGGGTGTAGATGGGGATGGAGCTGCACAGTCACCTGGGGGTGTAGACGGGGGTGCAGCCACACAGTCACCTGGGGGTGTAGATGGGGATGGAGCTGCACAGTCACCTGGGGGTGTAGACGGGGGTGCAGCCACACAGTCACCTGGGGGTGTAGATGGGGATGGAGCTGCACAGTCACCTGGGGGTGTAGACGGGGGTGCAGCCACACAATCACCTGGGGGTGTAGATGGGGGTGGAGCTGCACAGTCACCTGGGGGTGTAGACGGGGGTGCAGCCACACAGTCACCTGGGGGTGTAGATGGGGATGGAGCTGCACAGTCACCTGGGGGTGTAGACGGGGGTGCAGCCACACAATCACCTGGGGGTGTAGATGGGGATGGAGCTGCACAGTCACCTGGGGGTGTAGACGGGGGTGCAGCCATACAGTCACCTGGGGGTGTAGTTGGGGGTGGAACTGCACAGTCACCTGGGGGTGTAGATGGGGATGGAGCTGCACAGTCACCTGGGGGTGTAGATGGGGATGGAGCTGCGCAGGCCCCTGGTTACCGGAGACTGGGGTGGAACTGTGTAGACACCCCAAACACTCAGGTGGCTTCTACCCATTCTGTCCTGATGGTTTTCAGATCAGGAAGTGCTGGCTGACGTCCGCACCATCGTGAACCAGAGCAGTTACACCCCGCAGGATCCCCGAGACCTCTGTGGGCGCATACTGACCACCTGCTACATGGCCAGCGAGAACTCCTCCCAGGAGACGTGCAGCCGGGCCAGAGAGTTGGCCCAGCAGATTGGAAGGTAGGGTTGGTCCCTGGTGTTGGGCGTGGCAGGCAGCTGCCAGCTCAGAGCCACCAGAAGCTGTGCCTGTAGCGCATTGGTGACCGGCTTCGTTCACTCGGCGTCGTGTCATCCACGACGTGGGTAAGATGTCAGCGCTCCATCCCTTCTGTGGGTGAATAATATTCCACTGTGTGATAAACCCTGATTTGTTCTCCAGTCACCAACAACTGCTTAAATGTGCAGCTGGGAGCTTCTCGGGGCTCTGCGTTCTCTTGGTCTGAGGCAGATTTCAGGGACTGTGTATCAGTCCTCCCTATCTGACCCACCCCATTCTCTGACTGTGCCTACGATCTCCGCCCTTCCCTCTCTCCACTCTTGCATTCCCAGTGCAGGCTGCAGGTCGTATGTGCTCATATGGGAGTTGGCTGTGGGCTGACTCATACCCCTCCTCCTGTCCCTTCCCCCTGCCCTCACTGCCTCTTCTACAGGGCGGTTCTCTACGTGGACAGTGGAGGGAGGGCAGCTTTCCGGAGAAGGGAGACTGGGTTCCATCTAGAATGTTCCATCTACATAGCTCTTAGGAGAAAATGAGCAGCTGCCCATCCTGTTTGCTGAGCTCAGCTAAAAGCTGCCCCCTGCCCCCCAGCAATCCTCCTCCTAGAGACGTACTCAGAGGAATCGGAAGCAGGGACCCAAACAGATACTTGTTCAGGAAAGTCCGTAGCAACACCATTCGCAGAAGCCAAGAGGTAGGGTCAGCCCAAAGTCCATCCCAGATTAATGGAGAAAGAAACTGTGGTCCATTCACACAGTGGAATATTATTCACCCAGAAAAAGGAGTGGAGCATGGGCATGTGACACAGTGAGGAGAAACCTTGAAGACATGGTTCGGAGTGAAAGGAGTGGAGCCACACAAAGCCATGTGGCGTTTGATTCTATTTCCATGCAGTGTCCAGAACAGGCAGCAGCATAGAGAGGGTGTGTGTCACTCTCCACATCTGTCACTATCACTACTGTCAGAGCTGGAGGAGGAGGGAGTGGGGACGGACTGCCGGTGGGATGGGGTTTCCTTCTCGGGTGATCAGGCATTCTGAGCCAGATGGTGGTGAGGGCTGCACAGCACTGTGGATTGCTAACTGCCACCAATCGTACACATTAAAGTGGTTACAGTGTCACCAGGGCTCCACCACCCACGCGCACATACATGCACACACGCGCACACACGCGCGTACCTGCACACACGCACACACATGCACACATGCACTTGCACGTGCACACATGCACACACACATGCACACGCATACCTGCACATGCTGCCCTCCACGCCTCCCCTTCTCCTTCCAGCCACCACATCAGTCTCAGCATCGATCCAGCCGTGAAGGCTGTCATGGGCATCTTCAGCCTGGTGACAGGGAAGAGTCCTCTGTTTGCAGCTCATGGAGGAAGCAGCAGGGAAAACCTGGCGCTCCAGAATGTGCAGGTGCCCTGGCCTGGGCCGGTGTCCCCTGGGGATGGGGGTGCAGGGAACCCTGGGACACCTGGTACAGGATGCGCAGGTGTCCCTGCCTGGGCCGTCATCTCCATGAAAGTCATGGCACAGGGCACCCAGGGACAGCCAGTGCCGGGGTTCACAGCCTGTGTGCCTCGCTGAAGACATCAGTCATGCAGCCTTGTTAACAAGGATGGGTGTGTGTGTGTGTGTGTGTGTTAGTGCCTGAGCATGTGATGTGTAAGAGCAAGAGCAGGGGTGTAAGAGTGTGCATGCTTGAGTGTCTGCAGAAGTGTGAGTGCAAGAGCAAGAGGGTATGTCTCAGCGTGTGAGCATGAGGGCACGTGAGTGTGAGTACAAGCGTGTGAGTATGCACAAGTGTGGGTGTGCTTGTGCGTAAGTGTAGATGTGGATGTGCAGGTTGAGTGTGTGCACAAACGTGATTGCACAGGTGTGTGCGAGTCTGCCTGAGTGTACGTGCATGCCTGTGAGCACGTGGGTGGGTGTGCATGACTGCAAGAGTGTGCATGTGACTGTGTGAGTGCGTGCCTCTTGTATCCTCAGGGAACAGCCCAGATGCTGTCTGCCTCCTGGGTTACTGCACTTCACTGGATGCTCCATGATGGGCGGAAGAGCAGAGAGGCTGGGCTGGAGCTGGGGGCTCTGGCCGCTGGGATCTGTCCTGTCTCTCCCTGTCCCCTTTCTGCTGTGCATTGGGTGGCCTCTCCCCTCCTATCAGTGGGAAAGGGACAGAAATGCCATTGCCAAGCTTTCTCCCAGGGAACCCACAGCTCAGTTCTGCCACCCATGCTGCCTCTGCCCTCCTGGGCTCCAGGTGCTCCCATCTTTGAAGACAAGGTCCCGCTGTGCTCGTATGAGCTCTGCAGAGGTGGGACCACCCTGAGAAAGGCCTCAGGACGCTGTGGGACTCGGAGGCTCGGATGTTCCCAGAACACTAGAGAGCTCCTGAGTGATTTTTCTTGTTTTCAGGAGGGTGCAGGTGTGCGTCTCCCCGTCCCCGCTTTGCAAGGTAACCCGTTACTTCCTCCGTTGTGTTGTCCAGGCTCGAATACGGATGGTCCTCACCTATCTGTTTGCTCAGCTGAGCCTCTGGTCTCGGGGCGTCCATGGCAGGCTCCTCGTGCTGGGATCCGCCAATGTGGATGAGAGGTGAGTGTGGCCCAGGCAGTGGTGGGTCCTGGAACCTCTCAGATCTCTGACGGTGACGCACTGTGAGATGCTGTCATCCTGTGCCTCTCATGGCAGGTTTAGTGCCTGGGGCAACATTCCTCTAGAATTTCACCCAACCCGAGTGGCAGAGCGGATGGCATCGCCTTCCTGCAGGCGGCTCCTGGTGCTCACCACTCTCATCAGCCCTGTGGTCCTTCCTCTCTCTCTGCTGCACCTCGAATTCATCTCCCCCTTCCCTGCAACAGACAGGCTCCCCTCCTTCTTCTAGGCTGTTCCACTGCATCTTAAGTCATTTCTTTGCAACTCATTTTTACCTCCAAACCAGAGTTCATTTTTTATGTGGACTAAAAGTACTCCCCTTCTCATCCTGCTTCCCTGATCAACAAAACTCAGTGCCTCCCTGCTGTTTTCCAGCTAAAATTCAAGCTGCCTATCAAACCCAGCAGTGGAGGCTGCTAGAGAGTCTTTTCCAGCCTTGGTTTCCCCACTTCCCTTAGGTGAGCCTCTGCCCGTCTCAGCTCGTCTGTGCTCTTCTTAGTTGCTCCTTAGTAGCTGAGGAATTTCAAAAACTATTTGTCATTCATTTGTTTGTCTATGCATCCATCTATCCATATGTCAGTTCAGCCATCCATCCATCCATTCGTCTACCCATCTAGGCACCCACCCACCCATCTACCCATTTACCTGTCCATTCATCCACCCATCTGTCTGTCCATCCATTCATCCATCCATCCATCTACCCTCCCAGCTGTCTGTCCATCCATGCATTTATCTACCCATCTTTGACCCATCTATTCATCCATCCATCCACCCACCCACCCATCCATTCATCTACCTATCTGTCTATTCATTAATCCCCACTCATCCTTCCACCCACTTGTCCACCCACGTGTCTGTCCATCCACCCATCGGTCTATCTGCTCATTCATCCATCTGTTCATTTACCATTTCATCTGTCCACCTACTCATCCATCTACGCATCTCTCCATTTATCCATCCGTCTACCTATCTGTCCACATTTCCTTCCTTCCATCTATCAGTCCTTTTCTTTTTTCTATGGTGTGAGTGTCTTAATCACTCTGCATTCTTGCCTGTCTGCGGATGTGTTCTCTTTTAAATCTTAGGCTTTTAAATCCTATTTTAATTTTCTAATTACAGAAAATTGAAGTTAACACCCGATACTGGGTAAAAATTCTCATCCTCCCCATGCATATTTTGTGAATCGCTTTTCTGGTGCCTCTGATGCCTTCGTGAGGGACTGACTTCAGGAGGGGTGTGATGGCTGCTGTATATTCTGAGCTCTGCTGTAGTTGAGGATATTGATGTTTCGTTTTTGATGGCATTGCTTTTGCAGATGAGGAAGAATTTGATCTGTTATAAAATTGTGTTGTCACAGTTCCCCATCACAACTCTTGTCCATCATTTTCTAGTATTTAAAATGTTAACAAAGAAACAGATACTGTTGCCAGGGTGAGATTGGGTTCTGGGAGCTTGAAGGCTTCTAGATCCCATTTAGAAAATAAACAAACCTAGGTAATCACCTCTCATCCCTCAGCTGCTGGACAGAAAGCTCTGTGGCTGCGGACACTCCCCCCGTGATGTTGTAGTGAAGCCCTTCTGTCCGTTTCACATGCTGCACCCACCTCTGCCACCGCCTTCTCACTGGTCACAGCCAGTCCTTTTCTTCTTCTCCATTCTGGGGAGAATCTCAGGTGTATAGTGTTGATTTTTAAAAATTTCTCTGTAATTCTGTTGTTTAATTGCTTCTGATTCTAGGTCAGTTGCATGCCTGTCTGCTCCTCAGGGGCCTGTTGGACACCTGTTCTCCATCAGGCATTCTTCCCTGTGGTGTGAACAAGTCAGAAACAATTCCTGTTCTCTGCAAGTGGGAGGAGACAGTGATAGCCCAGCTGATGATGTGTGTATTGTAGGAAACGTCTGCTGAGAGAGCTCGAGGAGGGAAAGGGAGAGCTGGGAGTTTGTAGGCAGCTTGCTCAGGGAGGGCCCTGCTGAGAAGCGAGTTTCATAAAGGCCTTCAGTGCCAGGATCCATCCCGTAGGCCCCAGCTGCGTGACAAACGAATAAATTCACTCACACACAGAATACAGTGAGCAAGTGGTCTGTGGGGTTGTGAGCCACTCACAGAGAGAGAGCCCACCTACATGATGCTGACTAGTTCGCCATCTCCCCAAATGGGGAGATTTAATAGCAGAGGTTCTAAGTCAACACACTTGTAGACTTTCTAAGCCCAAGGCAAACACCATTAGAAGGTAATCTCCCTGGTCAGCCTACCCCCAAGAGGGCCGTCCAGCTCAGAGCTTCGTTTTGAGACCACATGAGTAAACAAGTTATTCAGATAAACATTCCCACATACCGTAGGTATTTGCTTTTCTTATTAACTAAAGGTAAAGGAGATTTAGGCTGCCTTCAGCCAAAACTTCTACTGAAACTATGCAAACTTCTTGGCCTTCCAAGAAGGTTTGCAACTATATTCTAGAACTTTCTGTAATATTTTCCCCTTAATGTTTTTGCCACCACCCTGAGTGAATTCCCACACTCAGATGAGGGTGAGGGTGGGTAGAGAAGGCCTGAGTCGTGTGACTGCCCCAGGACTGAGGACTGGTCATTGTCTCCCTAAAAGGCCTGGTCTTAAGTGGGGACTGAAAGACCTGCAGAGCTGGTTTTGGGAAGAGTGTAGTGTGGGGGTCAGGGGAGGTGTGAGAAGTCAGAGACAGCTGTTTCCAGAAATTTCACTTTCAGGGGGAGGAGAGGCACAGGATCGGCACTGCACAGATCAATGGAGACAAGAAACAGAGTTTGCTTTATTGCTAGAGATAAGGTCTTGCTCTGTCACCCAGGCTGGAGTACACTGGCACTGTCACAGCTCACGGCAGCCTCAACCTCCTGGGTTCAAGCCATCCTCCCACCTTAGCCTCCCAAGTAGCTGGGACCGCGGGTGCATACCACCAACCTAAATTTTTTGTTTCTGCTGTGCCGCCAGACTGGTCTCCATTTGTTTTCTTGCTTTAAGATACTGTCAGGAAAGGACCAGTAGAGAGTGAGTGGATTTGCTGGTGCAGGATGGTGGGGATGTTTCTGACGAGGAGGTGAGAGCAGGTGACCAGGCGGGAGGGTGGCTTTGCTGTGGGCCCAGCCAGCGCATCCACAGCAGCAGGAGGGGTGGGTTCAGAGGCAGGCCTCCAAGGGCACTGCAGGCTGCTCTTCTGAATGGTTTTCTTCCTCTCAGTGAAGTTAGGAGAAGGTTCCAGAGAGAGTAGGAAGGGAGAGGAGAGTGAAGCCAGCCCTGCGGGGCTAAGTTGGGGTCAGCACGGGAACTGCAGAGCTGAGAGGCTGTGCTGAAGGTGGGCATCTAGCAACATGATTTCAGCTGATAGAAGTGACCAGCTTGGGGGAAGCTCAGTGCGGAGTGTGAGAGGAGGGGCCAGCTGCTAGAACTCAGCAGTCCTCGATTGAAATTGTGTGGCCACGCCTGTTGCTGGCTTCAGAGTCTCACCAATCCACCAAATCAGTCTTGATTTCACCAGAAAAAGTCTGCCTCAGTTTTCAGCCTATAAGCATGCCTCTCATCCCCATGGGGCTCCCACCTCCCAGCTGGGGTTTCATTCCAGCAAGACGAGGCAGCATCCTTGCCCCATGGGTCTGCAGGTGGAGCCAAGCCCCGCACTGCTGGGATTTCCCTGGCTATGCTGAGTCAGCCCAGGCAGATTTCCCCCATCTTTGGCAGTCACTGGGGATGGAGGAGAAAACGTGGTAAGATGAAGACCGTCATCTTCCCTGGCCCATCTGGCCCATATCCAGGCTCCTGCTAAAGGACCCTTGGATGGGACAGGACAGAGGCAATGGGGTGACTGGGGCAGCCCCCACTGAAGGCAGCACAGGGCCTCAGTCGTCCCTCTGTTGGGACCCTGGGGATCTCATACCCTGGACATTGCACCACAGTGAGGGTCAGGAGGGGTGAGAAGGCGTAGAGGTGTGAGTTTATGAGTGCTGAGAAATGTGTCTCATTTCTGTATGGTGGGACAGGCAGGGGCCAGCCTGGAATGGCTTGCAAGGTCAAGGACACCGTTGAGGGCATTCAGATGGTGGGAGCGCCTGGCCTGGGCTGGTGTGGGTGGTCAGCCAGGAGCCAGAGGAGAACCTGGAGGCCTGCGCCGGCATTGGCCGTGGGGCAGGGTGAGGAGGACAGGTGTGGAGCGGCTGCAGGAGTTTCCCGTGGCTGCTGTAACCCATGACCACAAAGTTAGTGCCTTCAACATTGTGGTCCTTCAGCTCTATAGGACACACATCCAGTGTGGGTCCCCTGGCTCAAGGGGTGCACATGGCTGGTTCCTTCTAGGGTCCCCAGGAAAGAATCTGTTTCCTGCAGTTTCCAGGCTCTGGAGCCCCATCTTCATTGGCTCATGACCCCTCCTCCTCCTTCACCACCAGCAGCCATGCGTCTCCGTCTTTCCCCTGTGGTCACTGCTCCCTCCGACTCTCACCTTCACCCCCTTCTATTTTTAAGGACCCCTGCAATTGCATTTCAGGCCCACCCTGCAATCCAGTGTCACCTCCACATCTCAAGTCCCCAACTGAGTCCATCTATAAAGTCCCTTTTTCCCTGCAAGGTGAAAGAGTCACAGGTTCTGGGGATTAGGACATGGGCATCTTTGCCTATGATTCTTCTGCCAACCACAGGCCTCAGAGTTGATGGGCAGGGGAGGGGCCCAGCTGTCCAGGCAGCAGAGTGTCCATATATGCCGAGTTCCTGCTCACCCCCGACCCCCCAGGACTTCTGTCCCTCAGGTCCGTTCAGATGGCTAATCCCAGCTCTGTGCTGGTGACCCCTGAAATCTGCCTGCCATTCCTAGCGTGTCTTCTGGTACACCCAGAGGCTCTCCTGGGTCATCTGCAGCCCCTGCCACCTTTGCCGGCTGCTCTGGGGCTTCTCTAGGACCCTTGAAATTGCCATGATTCTGGCTTCAGGGCCCCTGGAAGAAGCGACTCCATGAGGGCCAGGGTTGGGGGAGTCTGCGGCCCCTAGGGAACCCATGCGCTCTCCCTCTCCCTGCAGTCTCCTGGGCTACCTTACCAAGTATGACTGCTCCAGTGCGGATATCAACCCCATAGGCGGGATCAGCAAGATGGACCTGAGGGCCTTTGTCCATTTCTGCACCGGGCGATTCCAGCTTCCCGCCCTGCAGAGGTGAGTAGGCTTGTGGGCCGTGGTTCCACAGCCACCGGGCTCATTCCATAGCACAGCCCTGGCCACTCTGGACCTCACTCAGGTGCCTTTGTAGCTCCTGTTGACTGCTGAGCAGCCCTGCCCTTGAGCTGGCACTTGAGGCCCGTGACAAGGCCGCCCCTTCTTCCTGTGGATGCCCCAACAGCCCCCAGGCTCCAGCCAGATCAGGGAGCTGCAGCCTCCTGCCTCCCCCCGCCCCCGTCCCCCCTGCCCCACCTGCCCCACCTCTCCCGCCTCTCCCACCCGCCCTGCCTCCCTTTCCCGCCATCCCCATGCTGAGGGACCGAGGCAGACCGAGGCTCGCTGCATCTGAGCAGAGTGCCTATGCTTCAGCAGTGACTACCGATGGATCAGTGCCTGGAGCCTTCCTGGCCTTTGCTCCCATGGTTCCCTGTTACAGGGATACATGTTTCTTCTCTTTGCTTATCCTCCGTGTGGTGACTCTGCCCCCCAGGGGACATCAGGTAGTGTCTGTAGACATTCTGAGTAGGTTTGTTACATGGGCTATGCTGCTGGCATTAGCGGGTAGAGGCCAGAGGTGCTCCTGAATGTCCTGCAGGGCACAGGGCACAGACATTCCCGACAGCACGGTCCCCGCAGCCTGGGTGTGGACGGTGCCCGGTGGGCTGGCCCTGTGCTGTGCCTCCGTCTCTGCCTCTCCTTGGGTCAGGAGGCCACAGCAGCACGCGCACTCCTCCGCCCAGGGTACTCAGGAAACTTAGTTCGGGGATTCTCTCCCAGAGCTCACGCACCCTGGCAGCTTCGCTGACCAGCCTCTGTGGGTGACACCCCCCATGGGCACCGAGGAAGGAGAACGGTGCAGACCCCAGGCGTAAGTAGTGCCTGAAGAATATCTTAGTTTATAGTGTTATTGCTCAGCTGTTTCCTGTATATAATCCCTCACATATAATCATATATTAGTTTATAGAATTAGTGCCTGAGTATAACTTTGCTTACATATATCTAGTTTATATAATAGTACTTAATGCTTATATCTAGCATACTTAGTTCTATATAATCTTTCTATATAATCATATAGAAAGCAGTCGGAGCTGTACCGACACATTTAGTGTGATTTACAGAATCCTTCCATATAACCACATGGTAGTTCGTAGTAGGAGGAATGCCTAGAGCAGTCACAGAACAGGAGCAGTACATGGGAAAACAGCCAGACCAGGACGAGAACCAAAGACCCAGGCGGTGGCGTCCCTGCCTGAAAGGGCACACGCTGTATGCAGGCTTGGAGCAAGAGCCTCTCCTCATGATAAAGGAGCTGTAGCACCTGCATCCAGCTCCTGTGGAAAGTCGGCCTCAGGCCTGAGATCCTGGAAGTAACCGAGGGAGAAGAACCCTGTGGTGTGACCAGTCACGGCGGCTGTTCACCCTGTCAGTCTTTTCTCGCTTCTGTGCTGGCTCAAATCTTCCTCCCATAAATATCTTAGAGAAGAGCACAAGTCTGTCAACTCCCACTGCACTGGCTTACAGTATCCTTCTCTTAGAAACCCTATGAAGGCTCCAGCCCCCAGATAAGAAGTGTTATACACAACACCTGCTGCACACAGCCCACCTCCTTGCCTCAGTGACCTAATGGGGTGGACCCCTTTTCTGTACATGACCCTCTGCTACTGCGCACGGCCCACTCCTCTGCCCAGGTGACATAATGGGATGGCCCCCTCGCTTGTAACCCATGTGATTACGTATGTCCTATCATTAAGCCTATAGATGATGACCTCACTCACGACCCTGCCCCTGCTTGGACCTAATAAATACAGATGCTCTGGGGCATTTGAGGGCCGCCACTGATCTCCACTCACAGGTGGTGTGGCCCCCCCGGGGCCAGATGCTCTTCACCAGTTCTTCAGTGTTCTGTCTCTCTACCTCTTGGATCCTGTACCCCAACACAGCACAAGGGGCACCCCCGACCTTGGGGCCAACAGCCCTGCCGACCTCTGTGTGTTTCCGCTGCAGCATCCTGTCGGCGCCGCCTACCGCGGAGCTGGAGCCCTTGGCGGATGGACAGGTGTCCCAGACCGACGAGGTAATGGTGGTGGCTTTGCCACGGCGCTTCTGCCCTCCTCTCCACCACTCACTCCCTGACCCACCCGGAGCGGCCTCCCATCCTGCAAGCTCCGTTCCCGGGAAGTGTCCTCTTCAGGGGTCCCATTTTTTATCCTCCCTGCTGTATTTCCACCTCCCTTTTCTATGTTTAGATACATCAGCACTTAGCATTGTGTTAGCCCAGCCCAGAGTGTTCAGTAGAGTGACATGCTGTGCACGCGTGTAGCCTGGGAGCTCAGGCCGTACCATGTGGCCGAGGTTACATAGGCGGGGGGAGCGTCTGGTTGCATGTGAGTGCCTGGAGGGTGTTCACACGACGCAATCGCCTGAGCGCGTTTCTCAGAACACATCCCCAATGTGATCTCAGAACAAAGCCACGCGCACCTGACTTTCTTTGCAATCCACTGATTTCTATGAGGTCACGAGGGTGTCTCTCTTTCATTGCTGATTTCAGTTGTCTTCACTCTTCTTGGTCACTTTGGCTAAAGGTAAAGGTTTGTGCATGTTTTTTTTTTTATCTTTCCAAGCATAGCTTTTTGTTGTGTTGATGTTTTCTGCCGTCTGTCTTTCATTTCCCTCCGATCTCGGCCATTTCCTTCCTGCGCCGGCTTTGGCTTCCATCTGCTCCTCTTTTTCTGGTGTCTCAGGTGGAAAGTCAGGTTATCGACTTGAGATCCTTTTTCCTTTGTAAGGTAGGTGTTTGCAGCTCCGAGCTTCGCTCCCAGCCCGTGTCCAGTGCCTCCCACATGGTTTGGTCTGCTGCATCTTCACTTCATCCATCCAAGTATTTTCCGACTCCCTTTGTGACTTCTCCCTCGATCCCCTGGTTATTTAGGAGTCTCTGCTTTAATTTCCAAATATCCGTGAATGTCCAAACTTTCTGCGACTGAATTTCTACTTTTATTCCATTGTGGTAAGAACGCAGACTTTGTATGATTTCAACATTTGAAGCTACCTGAAGGCTTCTCTCGTAGTCCAGCAGGTGGTCTGACCTGGGACACGTTCCGTGTGTCCCTGGGAGGCAGGCGGGTCCCGCATCGGGGTGCAGTGCCCTGCAGGTGTCTGCCGGCCCTCCTGGTTGATGGAGTCGTCTGTATCTTTGGTTTCCTTGTTGATTTTTCAACTTAGTTGTTGTGTCCTTTATTGAAAGTGGGGTGTTGAAGTCTCGAGCTATGACCGTTGACCTGAAGGCATTAAATGTCACACTGGAAAATGGTCACCTCCTGCAAAAGAAACCAGTCAAATAGCCACTTGTGCACAACCTGTCGGGTGCTGGGAACTCCCTGGTGAGCAAGACAGACATGGCCACCACAGGGAAAACACTTACAGTCCCCTGGAGAAAAGGATGAGGAGGCCGGGCTCTGGCTCTAGCCATATTGTCTGATGACAGCTCTGGGGTGTGCTAGGAACACACCCCAGAGAGGGAATCGGAGCAGCTACTGAAAGATGAAAAGGGTCTGGGTTGTGTGAGCTTCAGGATGACATTGGCCTCTGAGCCTGGCTGGAGGTATTCATTGCCTGGCGATGTGCTAGTGATACCAGCGGCTCCTCATGGCCTCCAGCATGGCCCAGATTTCAGTGAGCCCCCTGTCCTGTTCTCTGAGTCCCCCACACTTCAGGGCATAGGCTCAGGAGGGCAGCAGACAGGCTTCGTCTGCTCAGGGTGCCACGCCTCCCATGGCTGATTTGTGGGGCTGCTGTCACTAATGACCTGGTGGCTTAAACAACAGGAATCCCTTCCCCTACAGTTCCAGAGTCCAGGGTCTGAAATCAAGGTGTTGGCAGAGCCCTGGTCCCTCCGAAGGCTCCAGGGCGGTGGTCCCTGGTCTTTTTGGCACCTGGGACCGGTTTCCTGGAAGACAATGTTTTCCAGGAACAGAGGTGGGAGATGGCTTTGGGATGAACTGTTCTACCTCAGGTCATCAGACAGTGGATTCCCACAAGGACTGACCAAGCCTAGATCCGTCGCTTGCATAGTTCACAGTGGGGCCTACGCTCCCCTGAGAATCCAGTGCCACCCAGGATCTGACGGGAGGCAGAGCTCAGGCAGGAATGCCCACTCGCCCATCCGCTTACCTCCGTCCCTGACCTCTGTGCAATCCAGGCCCTAAACGGCCAGGGACCAGCGCCGATCCATGGCCTGGGGGTTGGCGACCCTGCGCTAGGGGATCCTTTCTTGCCTCTTGCATCTTCTGGGGACTCTGGTGTTCCTTGGCTTGTGGCTGCGTCACTCCAACCTTTGCTTCCTTCTTCCTGCGGCCTCCTCCCGTCCTCCCTGTATCCTCCTGGCCCTCAAAAGGGATGTCACTGGCTGCAGGGTCCACCCTACATTCAGAGTCATCTCACCTTAAGATTCTTTACTTCTCAGGAGGCTGAGGCAGGAGAATTGCCCAAACCCAGGAGGCGGAGGTTGCGGTGAGCCGAGATCGCGCCATTGCACTCCAGCCTGGGTAACCAGAGCGAAACTCCGTCTCAAAAAAAAGAAAAAAAAAAAAGATTCTTTACTTCATTACATCTGCGAAGACTTTTTATCTTTTTCTCTTTTCGTTTTTTTTTTTTAGAGGCAGGGTCTGGCTCTGTCGCCCAGGCTGGAGTGAAAAGCTCTAATCTCGGCTCACTGCAGCCTCGATGTCCCGGCTCAGGTGGCCCTCCCTCCTCAGCCTCCCTAGTAGCTGGGACTGCAGGTGTGCACACCACTGTGCCTAATTTTTTAAATTTTTCGTAGAGACAAGGTCTTGCTACGTTGCCCGGCCTGTCTTAAAGCCCTGGGCTCAAGCCGTCCTCCCACCTCCGCCTCCCAAAGTGCTGAAATTACAGGTGTGAGCCACTGTGCCCGGCCAACACTCTTTTTCCAGATAAAGTCACATTCCTGGGAACTGGGCTTTTAGACGTGAGCACTCTTGGTGAGCCTTACTTCACCGCAAACCAAATGTCCGATTCTTCGTTGCAGCAAGTAATGCTACCTCCTTACTTGCTGCCAAGTGATGAAGAGGGAAACCTGCCTCTGCTCCTGCCTCTCTGGGAAAGTCTCGCCTCCTTGGCCTCTGGTTCCCATCTCCAGAAGAAGCTTTTGGGTCTCCCCACCTGTGACTTGCTGTCACTGTAGAATGCATTTTTGTCCTGCACAGGAAGATATGGGGATGACGTACACGGAGCTCTCGGTCTACGGGAGACTCAGGAAGGTGGCCAAGATGGGGCCCTACAGCATGTTCTGCAAACTCCTCGGCATGTGGAGGCACATGTGGACCCCGAGACAGGTAAGGCCCATGCGATGCATCACAGAGGGAAGCCGTAGGTAATGTCCTCTTTCCAGAAGCCAGTTTGACCTGTAGGAACAAGTAGATATGGTGTGACCCTAACATAATAAAACCATGTGTCACACAGTGACACTTGCCACTTTGCTTTTTGAGACTGAGTCTCGCTCTGTCTCTAGGCTGGAGTGCAGTGGCGCAATCTCAGCTCCTCACTGCAACCTCCACCTCCCGGGTTCAAGCTATTGTTCTGCCTCAGCCTCCTGAATAGCTGGGACTACAGGAGTGCTCCACCACACCCAGCTAATTTTTGTATTTTTAGTAGAGATGGGGTTTTGCCATGTTGGCCAGGAGGGAGACGGGGTTTCGCCATGTTGGCCAGGATGGTTTCAATCTCTTGACCTCATGATCCACTCTCTCAGCCTCTCAAATTGCTGGGATTACAGGTGTGAGCCACCGTGCCTGGCCCTTTCCACTTATTTTTACCAGTTCTGATCTTCTGCTGGCCCAAAGTTAACCTGAGTGGGGCTCATCCACAGTCAGGTAAACACAACATGGAACAAGCCCTCCCTTTTTTTGAAGGCAGAATGTAAACTTCAGCGTCAGAATAGTATTGCTTTTCTACCAGCTGTGAGTCTCACCGGGACTGAAGCCCATAAGTGTGGTGGTCCCATAGAACCTCCTGGAAGCCTCATGAAATAAATCTTGTGGGATCTATCTCAGATCTCTTGAGGCAACATGCCATAGCATCAGAGGCAGGGGGACCCCGGTTTCACAGCTCAGCCAGCGCCCCTGGCATGAGCACGGGCATCCCCCACCCCCGCCATCGGGGAAGGTCCTGTGCCGGGAGTAGCCCATGAACTGCCGGCTTGTGTGGTCCAGCAAGGGAATTGCGGCCCGGGGCCTTTCCAGCTCTGCGAACACGAAGCTCGTGTATTGCATGCCCACCAGGTCGCCGACAAAGTGAAGCGGTTTTTCTCCAAGTACTCCATCAACAGGCACAAGATGACCACGCTCACACCCGGGTACCACGCCGAAAACTATAGCCCCGATGACAATAGGTTTGATCTGCGACCGTTTCTGTACAACACGGGCTGGCCCTGGCAGTTCCGGTGCATAGAAAACCAGGTAAGTCCAGCAGAAATGTTTCTTTCTCCGTGTTTCACGTCTGTTGAAGGAACACAAGGTTATTTCCATTACGGATTGAAAAGCTTTCTTGTATACACAGTGGCATTGTTTACTGTCCTCATTCCTGCAGAGGGACACATAGGTTTAAAGTGGTTTTTGTCTTTTAAATTTACTTCTTTTTATGCTGACAAGTAAAAGTTCTATATATTGATGGTGTACAACATGACATTTTGATACGTGCCTCACAGCGGAGCGGCTCAGCCCAGCCGTTTCACGTGCACATGCCTTACCCCACGTGCTTATTATTTGTGTGTGGTGACAGCACTTAAAATGCACTCTCTTGGCCGGGCGCGGTGGCTCACACCTGTAATCCCAGCACTTTGGGAGGCCGAGGCAGGCGGATCACAAGGTCAGGAGATCGAGACCGTCATGCCAGCCAACATGGTGAAACCCCGTCTCTGCTGAAAACACAAAAATTAGCTGGGTGCGATGGTGTGCACCCGTAGTCCCAGCTACTCAGGGGCTGAGGTAGGAGCCCGAGAGCAGAGGTTGCAGTGAGCCAACATCATGCCACTGCACTCCAGCCTGGTGACAGAGTGAGACACTGTCTCAACAAATATTTTAAAAAGTTCTCTTAGCAATTTTCCAGTATCAACTTCAGTCGCCACGCTGTGCACTGATCTGTCGAACTTACTTCTCCAATCTAACAGAAAGTTTGTGTCCTTTGACCGACCCCTCCCCACCCGCTGGTAACCCCCGTTGTGGTCTCTGCTTCCACGAGATCACCTTTTTTTTTTTTTGAGATGGAATTTCGCTCTTATTACCCAGGATGGAGTGCAACGGTGCGATCTCGGCTCACCGCAACCTCCGCCTCCTGGGTTCAGGCAATTCTCCTGCCTCAGCCTCCCGAGTAGCTGGGATTATAGGCACGCGCCACCGTGCCCAGCTAATTTTTTGTATTTTTAGTAGAGACGGGGTTTCACCATGTTGACCAGGATGGTCTCGATCTCTTGACCTCGTGATCCACCCGCCTCGGCCTCCCAAAGTGCTGGGATTACAGGCATGAGCCACCGCGCCCGGCCCAAGATCACCTTTTTGAGATTCCGCAGATGAGCCGTACTGTGCGGCGTTTGTCTTCCTCTGCCTGGCTCGTTTCACTTCAGATGTGGTTTGTCTAGGTTCATCCCTTTGGTTGCAAACGGCAGGATTTCCTCCTTTCCTACGGCGGCGGCCTCCTCCATGGTGTGTGCGCCCCGCGTTTTCTCTGTCCCCTCATCCATCTGTGGGTGCACAGGCTGGTTCCGTAGCTGGGCTCTTGTGAATGGGGGTGCGGTGAATGTGGCTGTGCAGACGTCTCCTCAGCAGATGCGTTCATTTCCTGTCAGTTACACCCAGCAGCGGGGTGGCTGGATTCTACCGCAGTATTTTTAATCTTGGGAGGAGTCTCTGCACTGTTTTCCACGATGGCTGCACTGACTGCCGAGTGTGTTGAGTCCGGCGTGCACTCCTTCTGGCTGGGCATTGCATAAAACAAAATTAGCAGCTGGACACCACTCTGTGAATGTGGTGCCCAGCCACCATCATTTCCAAACAACCGGGGTATCCAGATGGCTCCGTGGCTTCCAACCCACCCTGCTTTCCTTTTTCTTTATTAATTACTCATAGAATCAAGGAAGGACCAATACAGTCAATGAAAAAGGATAGGTCCTTTTCTTTTCCAAAGCCAGGTGGGAGCCACGACGGAGCAGGGTGGCTGTGGCCTCCCCAGCGCAGGGGATCATCTGATGAGAGGGGAGAGCTGGCCGATGAGTCAGTCAACATGATAAACTGTGAGCCGGCTGTAGCTGACGCCTGTCATCCCAGCACTTTGAGAGGGTCACTTGACCCCAGGAGTTGGAGACCAGCCTGAGCAACATGGCGAAACCCTGTCTCTACAAAAATTAACGACAGTTAGCCAGACATGGTGGTGCACACCTGTGCTTCCAGCTACTTGGGAGGCTGAGGGGGGAGAATCAACTGAGCCGAGGAGGTGGAGGCTGCAGTGAGCTGTGGTCATGCCACCGCACTCCAGCCTGGGTGACAGCACGAGAGCCTGTCTCAAAACAAAATTTAAAATTTAAAAACAATGATAAATCCTGAGGAGTCTACCCTGAGGATGCCTCGTGTCCTTCTGGCACCTGTGAGGCCAGAGCACAGTGTGATCGCAGCACAGGACGATTAGTGCACAGCAGAGACACACGGGTGCTGCACGACCACAGAGTGGTGACCTTCTAACAGGAAGATGTCTTCAACTCTTCCCGAAGGGCATGAGGAAAACCCTGCTTATGCTGAACTAGAGGATGCGAGGTGCTGCTTTGTACCTCGTGGCTGGTGACAGCGTCTGTGAGCAGGTGGCATGTAAAACGAGGGTGGATCAGTGGCAGGGGCTCTACATCATCTGCCACCAGTAGCCTCCTGGGGGGACGTTAGGCAATGATCCAAGATGGTTTTGGTACTCATGACTGGGCTGGGGTCTGTGCTCCCGACATCCCATGGGTGGAGCCCAGGGGTGCTGCTGAACGTCCTACCATGTACAGGATGGGCCCATCCCAACCTCACGCCCTGCAGAGAATTCTCCGTTCCACGTGTTGGTGGTGCTGAGGCTAAGGAATGCTGTCATTTGGGGCTGGAAGGTGTTTGGGGCCACATGGTTATAAGGAAGAGATACTGTGTCTGGCTGATTTCCATGGAATGGAACTTACTGGAAGAGTGACTTAGAGGGTGGAAGGGAGGGCAGGGGTCGCAGGGGCTGGAAAGTGGGACTTGGGCCAGCCAGCTGCTACCCTGTGTCCCCTACTGTGGCTGGACGGAGCCTATGCGCCACACCCTGCCTGTGCCCTGCCATCCCTGAATCCCAGTGTCCCTGGGTCATGGGGCAGCAAAGTGGCCAAGCCTCAGGTGACGGGCCCTGTCATTCCGCCACCTGGGGCAGGGACGGGGCAGCCCCAGCTCTGGCCCCTGTAGTAGGAAGTGGGGGCTTGGCTCCCACCAAGATGCACTCAGGGGTGGGCTTCCCCATATTGGGAAGGGGGTTCAGGTGCTGTGCCGTCAAAAGAGTGACGCACGTGGGAACATCAGAGAGGCTGCAGGTAAAGGTGGAGACACTGCCCTGCTGTCCTCTGCGGGGACTGCTCTGCCTGTGCTGGACCTGCCCCTCCGTGCTTTTCCGGTGCACACTCCCAGCATCCTGTGGGGACTCTGGTAATTTGCTTTTTCACCTCTGGGACTTGTGACCCACTTTTGGTGTGTGCCAGTATGTCAACAGCCACACAGTCTGTCTTCATGGGACTGTGGCATCACAGGCCTCTCTTTCCAGGTGCTACAGCTCGAGAGAGCGGAGCCACAGTCCCTGGACGGTGTGGACTGACACCGGTTCCTTCCTGGAGGCCTCCTCTCCTCGGGGACCCCAGCGCCACATCATCAGCGTTGCTGGGACCAAGGGTAGGAGCCCTGTGGTAGGAGCCCAGAACGGCGTGGCGCATCAGTCGAGAAAGAGGGAACTTTTCAGTCGAACTCCTCCAAAGGAGGCTGGAATAAAGCCTAGGTTTAAAAAGAGGCTGGCATCTGTGCATGTGATTTTGATCTCCCTCCCCTGTGCTTTTTCCCACGAACTCCAGCACTCCCCGACGGAAGCCGCCTGGTAGGAGGGGCCCCACCGCCGCCCTGTGTGGCGTCTCTGCTACAGGAACAAGACCCGTGGCTCCTGGGCAGGGAGGGGTGTCATGAGCAGCAAATGGAGACGAGGACACCTCCTCTCCCACCCACGTACATTTTCCTGTCCTGGGTTCCAGAAGGTTCTGGGGAGATGGTCCCCACAGAGCTTTCTTCCTGGGTGTCTGGGAACCAGTCGTCCTTACTACTGTCCTGTGGGAGACCCATGCCATCTGGGCATGGGGACAGGGGCGGGGTGGGGGCAGGGCCCTGTGGGTCCCCCTTCCTGCTGGGCTTCATGCCGTTCTGGGCACCTTTGTCTGTTTATGGAATAGGGTGAGGAGGGACTCTTCCATCCTCTCCAGAGCTCCCCATGGTCCCCGAACCCTCTCTCCAGGGTAGCCCCAGGGAGTCTCAGCCTCCCTTCCTCAGAGGGTGAAGATGAGACAAAGATGGGTGCACATGCTAGAACCTCCAGGAGGGTGGAGTGGGTTTGGGGTCTGTGCTGCCTACTGGATGTCTGCCCTTCCTCTCCCAATGCCTGGCCCCTCTGCCTAGGGCACTCCTGCTTCCCAGCCTCACCTAGAGCCCCACACCAAACCCGGGACCCAGGCTGAGAGGCAGGCCACAGCCGAGGGCAAATTTCTCAGGGAGTGACTGGGGGCCCTGGGCTGGGGTGAGGGAGTGGTACTCCCAGCCTGCTGCCTCTGCAGGTCTGTGCGTGGCCTTTTTCCCCATCCCTGCTCTGTCCCCTCTCACTGTCCCTCTTTCCCTAAGCCAGGGCTGTAGATATGCTTTGGTCCTGGGCAACCGGGAAGCTTTCCAAATATAATGTGCCTGGGGCCGAGGGGGTCTCCAGCAGCCCCTGTTCCTCCCTGTGTGCTGCCACTGGGGACAAACCCCAGGGGTGGCTTCCAGAGACCTCCTTGATCCCTCCTGGTCTCACCGTCTCTAAGTCATAGCAGCACTAAGTGGCATGACAGAAAGTGGGGGTCATTCAGCAGGTGCTGGGGTAGCAGAAAGTGGGGGGCACTCGGCAGGTGGTGTCAGGGTAGCAGAAAGTGGGGGCACTCCGCAGGTGGTGTCAGGGTAGCAGAAAGTGGGGGGCACTCGGCAGGTGGTGTCAGGGTAGCAGAAAGTGGGGGGCACTTGGCAGGTGCTACTGGGGTAGCAGAAAGTGGGGGCACTCGGCAGGTGGTGTCAGGGTAGCAGAAAGTGGGGGGCACTTGGCAGGTGCTACTGGGGTAGCAGAAAGTGGGGGCACTCGGCAGGTGCTGTTGGGCTAGTGGTCACCACCATCGTTGTCTTCTCCATCACTTTGTCCAAAGTCTTTTGCCCACATCACACTGTGGATGCCCCTGTCCAGAAAGGTCTGAGGGCACTGGGGTGGCTGGCACTCCCCACCTTCTCAAGGAGCAGCCAGCAGGAGACCTAAGATTCTCCTTAGGCCTTGGATGGGAGCTGGAGGCTTCTGAACTCCTGCACCCCACATGTGTGGCAACAGGGTCAGGAGTGTGTCCCCTGAAAGATGATGAGGTGAGGCTGGGACCCTGAAGACAGCCCTATTTGGTGGAATTCCCCTTGGAGGCCCCGAAACTCCCCACCTGCAGGAGCTGAGCTCAGGGGCCCTGGCCTTCAAGTTACAGATACAGGGCAGTGTCCCTGGTTACAGCATACTGTTCCCCAGTTGTAGATTAGTATCTTCTGGTTACAGAATAGCGTTCCCTCAGTTATAGGGGCAATGTCCCCCCAGTCATAGCATAGTGTACCCCCAAGTTATAGGGTAGTATACCCCAGTTATAAGGCAATCATCCCCATTATAGTGTCTTTCAGTATAGAGTGACGTCTCCCAGTTATAGGGTAATGTCCCCCAGTTATAGGGTGATGTCCCCCAGTTATGGAGTGATGTCCCCAAGTTATACGGTGATATCCCCCCAGTTATAGGGTGATGTCCCTCAATTATAGGGTGTTATTCCCCCAGTTAGAGGGTGATGTTCCCCCAGTTATGGGGTGATATCCCCCCAGTTATGGGGTGATGTCCTCCCAGTTATAGGGTGATGTCCCCCACTTATAGGGTGATGTCCTCCCAGTTATAGGGTGATGTCCCCCCAGTTATAGGGTGATGTCCCTCAGTTATAGGGTGATGTTCCCCAGTTATAGGCTGATGTCTCCCCAGTTATAGGGTGATGTCCTCCCAGTTATAGGGTGATGTCCCCACTTATAGGGTGATGTCCTCCCAGTTATAGGGTGATGTCCCCCCAGTTATAGGGTGATGTCCCCCACTTATAGGGTGATATCCTCCCAGTTACAGGGTGATGTCCCTCAGTTATAGGGTGATGTCCCCCAGTTATAGGGTGATGTCTCCCCAGTTATAGGGTGATGTCCCCCACTTATAGGGTGATGTCCCCCACTTATAGGGTGGTGTCCTCCCAGTTACAGGGTGATGTCCCTTAGTTATAGGGTGATGTCCCCCAGTTATAGGGTGATGTCTCCCCAGTTATAGGGTGATGTCCCTCAGTTATAGGGTGATGTCCCCTAGTTATAGGGTGATGTCTCCCCAGTTACAGGGTGATGTCCCTCAGTTATAGGGTGATGTCCTCCCAGTTATAGGGTGATGTCCCCCACTTATAGGGTGATGTCCTCCCAGTTATAGGGTGATGTCCCTCAGTTACAGGGTGATGTCTCCCCAGTTACAGGGTGATGTCCCTCAGTTATAGGGTGATGTCCCCCAGTTATAGGGTGATGTCTCCCCAGTTACAGGGTGATGTCCCTCAGTTATAGGGTGATGTCCTCCCAGTTATAGGGTGATGTCCCCCACTTATAGGGTGATGTCCTCCCAGTTATAGGGTGATGTCCCCCAGTTATAGGGTGATGTCTCCCCAGTTACAGGGTGATGTCCCTCAGTTATAGGGTGATGTCCTCCCAGTTATAGGGTGATGTCCCTCAGTTACAGGGTGATGTCCCTCAGTTATAGGGTGATGTCCCCCAGTTATAGGGTGATGTCTCCCCAGTTATAGGGTGATGTCCCTCAGTTATAGGGTGATGTCCCCCAGTTATAGGGTGATGTCCCCTCCAGTTACTGGGAAATGTCCCCTCATAGTGTCTTCCATTTATACAGTATCATCCCCTTTTTATAAGGTAGTATCCTCAGTTACTAGGTAGTGTCCCTCAGTAACAGGATAGTGTCCCCCAATTACAGGATAGTGTCCCCCCAATGTAGTATCCCCTAGTTATAAGCTACTTTCCTCCAGTACAGGGCAATGTCCCCCCAGTTACTGGGTTTGCAAAACAAGGAAAAAAGATGTCCCCCAGTTACTCTCCATTGTCCTCCAGTAACAGGATAGTATCCCCTAATTATAGGGCAGTGTCCCCCATTATAAGCTGGTATCACCCAGTTATAGCATAATGTTCCCCAGTACAGGACAGCGTCCTTCCGGTTTCTGGGTAATGTTCCCCAGTTACTCTCCAGCATCCCCAGTAACAGGATAGTGCCCCCCAGTAACAAAACAAAGTCCCCCATCATAGTGTCTCCAGTTAAAACCTAGTGTCCCCCGGTGGTAGGATAGCCTACTACCAAGTCCTCCTAAGTGGAACTCATCTGGCCGGAGTCCAGCTGAGATTAGGACAGGGAATTGACCTTCAGTTTTGGGGAAGGCACCAGAGCTCGGCCAGTGAGAAGCTGCCACCTCTGTCCAACCATATCCAGGTTGCTGAGGGTCCCTGGCCCTGTCCTTAAACTTCATCACTGACATGACCCAGCAAGAGGAAAACATCCCCTTGGGTCAAACCCAGCTCGTTCAGGTCTCGGGGACCTCCTCCTCCCATCCTGAGGACACTGTGGAGAACAGGTGTGCAGGAGACTTTCTCCTCCCCTCTGCCTTTTGGCTAAAACATTTCACTCAAAGGCAGACGCAGCCTGAGGGCAGCAGAGGGGACCCCAAGGCTCACTGCTCATTTGTAGTTGATTGATACCAAGCGTGTGGGTTTTCCTCCTGTTCTCATCATGGGTGCCTTTGCTCAGCCCCATCCTCCTGTTCCCATCCAGTCGGCCTTTGCTCAGCCCCATCCTCCTGTTCCCATCCAGTCGGCCTTTGCTCAGCCCCATCCTCCTGTTCCCATCCAGTCGGCCTTTGCTCAGCCCCATCCTCTTGTTCCCATCCAGTCGGCCTTTGCTCAGCCCCATCCTCCTGTTCCCATCCAGTCGGCCTTTGCTTAGCCCCATCCGACCGGCCTCCAGCAGCATCCGCCCAAAACGTTCTCCCATCACAGCCGGAAGCAGCCTCAGACAGTACACGATGAACAGGCCTGGCTGTGTTCAAGTAAAACCTCCGGCTGGACACATTTCATAACGGGGGCACACATTCCCCTCCCCTTCCCAATGCTTGAACACTTCGGGACAGCGATTCTCAAACATTTCGGTGTCAAGAGCCCAGAGCATTTGCTTATGTGGCTGATATCTGCTGACATTTGCTACCTTAGAAATTAAAACTGAGAAATCTAAAAATAGATTTAATGGAGTCACTTAAAAATAATAATCCCATTGCATGTTAACATCAAGTAGCATATTTTTGTGAAAAAATAAATTTATAAAAACAAATCTAAGTGAGAAGAGTGTCATCGTTTTCCTTGTTCTGCAAGATCTTTTCAGTGCCCAGCTTATGAGATGACGGCACTTTTGCTGCCAGCCGTTTGTGTATAAAGAAGACCTTTTCCAGGCCGGGTGCGGTGGCTCAAGCCTGTAATCCCAGCATTTTGGGAGGCCGAGGCGGGTGGATCACGAGGTCAACAGATCAAGACCATCCTGGTCAACATGGTGAAACCCTGTCTCTACTAAAAATACAAAAAATTAGCTGGGCATGGTGGTGCGTGCCTGTAATCCCAGCTACTCGGGAGGCTGAGGCAGG